GTGCGTGCGTAAGCGCGCTATAACCCATCCTAAAAGGAAGGTAGAGTGGGGGGAGCCTGTCTCTCTATGATCCCCTATCACTACTATCATGTATACCTATGGGTATTCTCATAATAAGCAAGAAATATACGCACCAAAGAGAATCGAAATAAACAGATACTCAATCGATTAAACCACTGCGCACAATATAAAATCAGTGCAGATTACAAGGAAAATATTCGAGCCGTTGCCGGAAAAATACAAGAACGTGCTTAAAAATATCACCAGCGCGATGAAAAAGTCGCGGCATCTACAAAGGATACTCAAACATCTGAAGCACCCCGCCACCTCTCCAGCTAGAAAATGTTGAACGTAAGTAAATTTCTCTTCATTTTTGCTATATTTTTAAAAATTGCTTTTTCGATATCACAAATATTATCGTTATTGCAATAGAGAGTAAACCAACGAGCAAAACTTCCGAAAAAATTGTCGAGTTATCGTCACCGGCCTCGTCCGAAAAAACGATACGAACGTCAAAACATCGAGCGCTGCTTCGACTATGCCCGAGCCTGATTCTCGCGCAATGCAAATTGATGTTTCAGCGATGCCTAACTCGTCATCTGACAAACTTTTTTTAATTGTGTAATAGCTAGACGGAAGCATCTTCGAAAATACGCATAATAATAGCCGGACGGCCCGCGGCCGACACATACGCGCCGCAACGCCTATGCTCGCATAGGGGCAGCGCGCGCTTACACATATACCAACGCAGAACATGCGTGGAGGCGTGAGCGGCCGCCCACACAGTCATAGCAATGTCGGCACACGCAACATCATAGCGCAAGGCACGCGCGAGAGGCTGAATACGCACCCGAGTGTCAAGGCCGAAAGAGCGGCTAAATCACACGCACGATTGCCGACTCAACTAGCACCCGTGGATATACACGGGCGGATATAGAGCCGCGAGTTCGCAAGAACTCGCAAAGGCACGGGAAGAGTTTCGCGTGTAACAACTCGACAACAGCGAGGACCTGCACGTGCAGCAATAAAAGTCGCGCAGCGCAACACATGTGGCCGAAGCCGGCATGAAGATGACGACAGGCCGAATCATCGAACAAGACCGGAGGCAAAAGCCGTTAAAAGATGTATTTTATGATCGCAAGACGGCCCGAGCGAGATTTGCATCTCGTCGATTCATCGATGAGAAGCCCGGGCCGGCTAAATTCCAGGAGGCAACGCGACTTGTAAATTTTACATTCTTTGCGGACCGGAGGTGAAAGCCGTAAAAAGAGGCTTTTGACAATCATACGACCCAAGCAACCAGCGTTGTGCGCCCTGTTTATGTGCCTTTGTCGACGATTTTCGGCTCAACGAAAAATAGTTCGTTGGTCATTTATTCTCGAGCTACCACGGAGTAAGCATCATGGCTCAATACAACTTTTATACAACATACGTTGACGCGCATGGCTTAAGCCTGCGCGTTTATAACGGTGGGGTAAGTAATTTATTTATCGTAATTTATAATAATTTATTTATCTCTGTGTTTTAATTAAGTTAACATTTTTTTTATTTTATAGGAGGATATGTACCCCCGCGAATTCATCGAGGGGTGCGTGGCTGCTCAAAAGGAGCGCCACGCAATTCTTATGATAGGAAAAGAATTGAACAAGCTCAAGAGAGCTTATAAAATAAGGTAATATTCATTTTTTTTTTTTTAATAATTATTAAAATATAAATATGAAATATTATTTATTTCTTATAGGCACGGGGTCGAGTTCGCTCAGAACTTTAGCCCCGAAGTATTGAGCGGACACCTGGATCACGTGAAAATCACCCAAAAAGAAAATGAGATACTCTCGCGTTGCCGGGCGTATTTCGATAGGTCAGTTTTTCTTTTTTTTTATTTTAAAATGTAAAAATGACATACTAATACTATTCTTTTTGATTTAACAGGTACGGCATTACAAATGTTACAGACGGTCCAAGCAAGCTTTCGATCCGTCGACGACAAATTAGCCCGAGCCGGCTAAATTCAGCGAAAACCAAACTCGTGCAAGCCCACCGGAACTAAAACATCCCCTTGACAAACATGTGCAAGTCGTGCACAGGGCCAGACCGGACACGGAGTCTGATATAAATACCGGGCCACAGCACGGCCTCAGGGCAGACCGTTACCGAACTCGAACCAGGGCGAAGCTACGCTCGATCGCGCAATACTTTGCTTTATTGGGACTTGGTCGATTTCACGATCATCACGATTCCGCACTTGGCCGAATTCGCGAGTCACTCCGAGTTAACAGCAGTGAACCCGCGATCCATACGCGCATCAAATACACGCGCATTAAGCGTAAAGGCCGAACATTCGAATGCGTAATTTCCACGGCTAGTGATAGTCGACCGTGGTAGCCGAGCAGTCTGAAGCCCACTGCACCGAGCCAGCAAGCCCTCAGCCGGCCAACCGACAGGCGACAAGACACCAGTCCCAGCAGTCCGACGGCCGCGCAGCTACGATCAACTGCGTCATCGCTACATCTGCCACCGCCCCAATCATCGAGTCTGCCTATAATTGTAAGCTATTAATTTAACTAGCCAATAAGTCGCGTCGATATTTCATGTACCCGCATTTATACTAGTGATAATGCAATAGTCTTGTGTGAACCAATGCCTTTGTGTCATTCATTTCTTCAACCCACCCTACTCAAGAGTCAACGCGTATAGAGTCATACTAGAGTCTTTACCGTCAGTACTTTAATAATAAATAGATGGTCAAACAATATCACACTATATGGCCATCACATTACACAGCCACGGGCCCGCTCTACAGCGGCCAGTACCCGCCGCACACCTTTCGAGGGAGACGAGGAGAAGTGTGTGCAAGTGCCCAGCAACTCAAGCGACGAGGAGGACGTGCTACCAGAGCCGCAACTCCCGAACAGAATGCTGTCAATACACGCGGGCCCCTGGGTGTTCTTTCTACGAATGCAAGGAAATAACGTGCGGTTCCACGCCTTCGGAAAATATCAGGACATCGACAGGTACGAGCGATGCCACGAGGAGGACTGGAACGAGGACGCCCAGCCCTGCGCCGTATGCGGGCAGTCCAACGACGCGCCAGGGCGGCGATACTTCGACACCTTCATGGTCGGAGAAAATGCACCGACAACTATCGAGGCTACGATTTTCTCTGATCAACCGGTCGGGCCAGTGCCACGACTCATACTAGCAAGCCAGCCCTAAGCGGAAAATCAGCCGGAAGTTGCCGTCGCCGCACCGCAGCAGGGGCTATCAGAAGCAGGAATAAACAAAACTCGAAACCCATAACACATAACCCATAATGCAGCACAATTTAAAACCGACCATGTAAAAATTAATTATCAAAAATGTAACGCACAAAAAGTAAAAACCGACTATGTAACAATTTTAAGAGACAAAAAAATGTGTGATTGTACCAGCATTATAATAGCAATACAATACAACAGTCTTGTGTGAACCCAAATTCTTGTGTCATTCATTCCTTCTACCTCACCCCACGAGAGAGACAACGCATATAGAGTCATTGCATATTAACTTCAGTCAGTCTACATATTTGATTATTAACAATTAGATGGGTAAAACCTATCATTACAAGAGATTAGATTTGGACAATGTATGTTCTAATTATGTCCATTTCTGAATGTGGGACATGTGACAGTAGGGCGAAGATTTGTCGACAAGCCATTAGTCGTCGAAATCTTCCAATGCAGTTTGCGCAGAATTTGTAAGAACAATAAATCAACACGAATCGCGAAGTTAAGTTTTGTGATATCGTTTTGCGATCCACTTCGCGAAAAGTGACCCCTCTCCCAAGCACAGAAACATATTATAAAAGAGACACAGTACTCGAGGAGTACACAAGTCACACCTTTCGACGCGAGAGTTTAGTACTAAAGTGACATTCAAATATATTAATTTTACATGGTAGACTACAGCCTACAAAGGTCTCAAATCCTAAAGTATGATCCTTTTTTGAATTTTTCAAATATTTTTCTGAAAATAGGGTTGGCGTACCGATTGCTAGTCATGTCGTTACATGTAATAAATATTGCTCGAAATATAAATATTAACCATAAAAACTGTTACAAAAATTTTGTCTTCTTACTCGATTTTAAAGCTCTTTTAAGCACCATCTAATTAAGGAGATCTGGACCCCACGTTTTTATCGGCCGAGACAGGCAAAGTTTCTTTTATTTTTAACTTTTTCTGTAATTCGAATTTCGACAAATGGCTCTATGGCGACCTTCATTTTGTTGCTAAGAATAAGCAGTTAAAATTGCAGCCCATCCCATTGAGCAGATTTCCCGGAAAACTGGATTGAAAATTTTGATCAAGCATGGATCAAAAGTCAGGATCAAAAATTATAATCCAGTTTTCCGGGAAATTTACGCAATGGAATGGGCTGCAATTTTAACTGCTTATTCTTAGCAACAAAATGAAGGTCGCTATAGAGCCATTTGTCGAAATTCGAATTACAGAAAAAGTTAAAAGTAAAAGAAACTTTGCGTGTCTCGGTCGATAAAAATGTAAGGTCCAGATCTCCTTAAGTATAGTTTATTTTTATGATTTTGACTCTTGAAATATATAACGAGAACATATCAATCGGTACCCCTACACTATATTCAGCCCAGCAATTGAGATGTAAAAGATGTATAAATAAAAAAATTAAAACTATCACAATATCGTCGCAAGATAATCCTTAAATATCTATGGTTTTTAACGTTCTTGTAAAAAAGGCAGATCTCCGGTACGGAAACTAATTCTTCGATTTCAAGCTCATCGATCTCTTATCATATGTACAATTCGTCGAGAGTTGTCGCAGCATTCTCAAGCGAAATCAGATGTCTTCTGACCGGCTCAACGCACGCAAAGACTTTTTTGCGCATCATACAACTAAATTACTCATTCACGCAAACATACTTTATCTTATAAATTTATATACTATCGCAAAGAATTGCAAAATAAGTAGATTTGTTCGTTACTTGTACCAGAATCCAGCTTAATCTGTTACGTCTTATTGTCTTATGGCGATGTGGAGCGCCGTAGGACGATAGTGAAATTCCAAGCAGCAGATCATAATCTGACAATCACTAACTTTATGTGGCAGTTTGGTCCTTCAGCGAGTGTAGAAGCACTGTAAGATTAAAATTAAATGAATGTCAATTCAAGTGTTGTTATAAGTTTAATACATTCTAGAATAATTTCTTCATACCTTCATAATGTTGTGTTGTGATTTTCGATGAATTTTCGATGGCGTTATGCCTTAGGCACCAGGCCTCGGGAGTTCAGTTTGAAATCCACACTGAATAGGCAAAGCTCTGTCGGGTCGAATTTAGTTTTTCACTAAAAGTCCAAGTATGAAGTTGTTCGAATTTCTTCATGCAGTTCACTCATAGTGAAGTAATCCTGAGTAAAGAAAACAAATTTAAGTAAAGAGTTAAAGTGTGCGAATATCAATTAAAATTTTTACCTACCTCTTATTTCCCTATTTAAATAAACTAAGCCAATTTTCTAATCGTGTCACTTTGGCATCTAGTAACTTCCAGTAACGATTTTTTAGTATACTGCACATTGATGATATTGTACGGCTACATAAAAATAGCCCATGAAAAATTTCTTTAAATATGAAGACGTCTAAGATACATCTGACGTGGTTGCAACTTAAATCATGAAAATTCTCTCTAAGAAGAATTTTGACAAAGGTCATGTCATCGTCGAGCAGTTGGTCCTAGAGTAACACAGTTGTAGTTGGGCGAGAAAAAATCTTCAAGAGTTTGAATTTTCTACCAGCGAAGGCATTTGAATCGAAGTTCAACGACGACCCGCTCTCGTAGTCTCGCACTAGATCATGTAAATGGGCAACGGTGTAAAATGATGATTATTTTGACGACATTGATTGCCTTTTTCTGCTTGGACATCTTTGATGATGAAAAGCACTGTGCACATTTTAAAGACTTTCTGAGTACAAATCTGAAAAAAATGTTATTTAAGTATATAAGTCAAAAAATGATAATTTCGAGTTTTTGAAACAATATTAATTATTCAAAAAAGTAGATAAATAATTACTTTTTTTTCAAAATATACTATGATAATAAAATTTTTTTTGTCAGTTTCCCGTTTGTAAATAAGAAAATATTTATAGTTTTAGTTCCAAGTCAATTATATGAAAAACTGAATTATATGAAAATATACGAAAAATTTATAAAAACTTTATTTTAGATGAGTGATTTTTTATACCGTGATAATTTTTTAAATGAGTTGTATGAAGTTTTTATTAATATTCAACGGAAAAAATTTTAAATAAAATACATAACGATCAATACAAATTAATTCCAAATTTTTATTTTCAAATGAACATTATTTTTAATTTTGAAAAAGTTTTCTTTCCCTCTGCTTTCGAAATAATTATTAAAATCTGATATCCATAAAATAATATGTTGCATTTTATTTTTCGTTACACATAGTAGCGTAATGAAATAAATATACGTAAATTTTTGTTTCCATTAGGATAACATTCAAATTCTTTTTTACTTCGGTCTGTTAAATTAATCCTATATAAAGTATCGTAAAATATCGTATATATGTGGTATGTAAAATTTACATCGTCATCAAATTTTGTATAAATTATGTGCGATGAATTTGTTTTTAGAACCCAAGATTTTTGATTTTTACAATACAAAGCAGAGTTGCAAGGTGGCCGAATTTCTTTCCCTTGGGCACGAAAAACAATAAAATTTGATAAAGCTTTCATTTCCACTGAAAGTATGCGCATTACTCAGAAGCAGCTGAAGTCATCAGCTGAACAGTAATAAAACTTGTTCATACTCTGGTCGCATGTCTCATATTTCAATATGCCACATATGATACTTACAATAGCTTCACTAATTTTTTATGAAACATTTAAGTCCAATGTTTTAATGAGAATAACGTAGTACAAAGTATACTCTTTTATTTTACATGAAAGTAAAATTTATAAGTTGATAAATTAAAAATACTCAAAAGCATTTGCACGAACAGTTGAATGTAAATTATTCGACTCTATACTTTTTTTTTATAGAATGCAGTATTAAATATTATTCCGTGATGTAGTTTAGATTCAACAACGCATTCATTTGATAATAATTACTTGATACAAAATTACAAATGATATTATTAACGGTTTAACTTTAATTTTTTTACTTTGAGAGAAATCCGTAAAAGTTTCTACGTTCTCTGAGTAATTTTTTTAATTCAGTGCACCGTAATAATTTTCATTGTACAGTTTGATTAAAATTCATATGACTCTAGCAAAAATTAATATATTTTATATTCTACAACGTAAATCACCTTATAGTTGTACTTGGTAAAATTTTTTCATCAAACTTAGAAATTTTAACTAAGGTATTACTCAACATTTCAAAACTCATAATTGAAGCTAAAAATATTATTATTTTACGCCAATTAAAATTTTTTGTAACAGTAACAGCAAGCTAATTGTGTTGTAGACATATAATTTGAAATTTTTACTTGTTTTAATAAAATTAGATTTTTTTTACTGTTACTAAAAATTTTAGTAGCACCAGCAATATTCTTAATTAGCGTCACAAAATGGCTTTTTGAGAGTCTCAACTACGACTTTTTTAATGTGCACTAATATATTTTTTTCATGCAGTATAAATATTTGGAATTTTCGTCGGTTTTTTACGTGGAGAGTTTAACCGATAAAACACAAAGGAAAATTAAAAGAAGCATGAGAAGTAGTTCGGCGCATTAATTTACACCAACGACCTTACGAATTAGAATGCAAGATGTAAAAATTTACCTTTATCGTCACTGTGGAGACACTGATAGACTTCCTTGAACTCGAATCTCGGCAACGATGCGTTGAACAAAAAAATAATGATTAATCGTCCAATTGATTTCGGCATCGTGTGGCTCGTTGGTTGCAGCACTTATTTAGTTAACACACTCTCGCGATAGAATTTCTAGAAAATTATTAATTTAACAAAAAAATCTAAGACCGGCCGACCGGAGCGATGCGTGTCGGTCGGCCGGTCGCGATGCTCTGCCGTCCGAGAGAAGTACACGACTGCCGACTGCGCTGGCCGCGAGTAAGTCTCGATGCCTCCAGTCCTGTGAACCTCCTCGACAAAAAATATCATGGTGGTAGTGTGAAGCTCGGATATTTTTATGGCCCTGCCGCCCGTCGCAAGCATCTGGGATTTTTTCCGTTGATACCTTCTTCGAATTTCACTCGTAGTTTTTTTTTTATGATTCTTAACGACTTTTAGCGGCGTATGGCACACGGCACATGCAGATGTCTCTTCTCCTTTTTTATCTTTATTGCCCTGGATACTGTATGATTGGGATCGATCTGGCAGTGTAACACGAGGATCGCGCAACTAATTTTAAAAAAAAGTCGTTGCATATGAGTTTCAGCAATGAAAATCAAAAATGATTGTTCGAGTCTTCCAAGATATTCGATATACTTTTACAATACTTTCGCGCTAAATAAATTAAACTCTCTATCGCGACGAAGCTTTTTGTAAACGATATCGCGTATCGTTCTCTTTGCCGAAGAATCTCGAAGGGCCTCTCATTTTTCTCCTCTCCTCCTCGGCGTGACTCATTCCCGTCGCTATACGGGTAATTCCGAGCGATTGCAAAAACCGTCGACGTCGACTATTCCTTTGTGCGCGAGCTCCGCAAGCTCGGGTGATTCGGAGCTGCTTCGCGTCGCATACCAAGAATTAGAAACGCCAGTTGTACATCATAAGCGTGTCGCTACGGGAGAAGGAGAGATTTTTGCGTCTCTTTGTTCTCAGCTCGTAACGAGATCGACTCGCTGCTCGAAAACAATATTTCGTAGAGAGAAACTGATAAAGCTCGATAATTTTTTCGCATACCTAAACTCCCGTACACGAAAGCACGACAGTAACATAAGTACGTAAGTGTACTACCTGTAGTACACGAGTACGGCATACATTTGAAAACACGTGCGAGCAACGCCTACGCAGGTATAACAGGTGCATATCAACGTAATGTCGTCTGCTAATATTCGCGCGCAATGCAATGCGCTGCGCACGAAAACCAGCGGCAGCGCCGCTACTCGGCCGACGCGGCGCTCTATTCAAAACGACACGACGCCCAAGCCTCGTGCGTACTATATACATTATTATTATGCACGCCGCTGGTCCGGCGGTATATAAACACACACGGACGCACCAACACCGACGCAATCGGCGCGGCCGCTCACACACACATACACAAACTCAACGCGTAGGCCGCTCGCCGCATGCGACTATGTGTAGCATAACTTAACCTTTTATCTCGTTTCCACATTGGAACTCGGAAAACTATACAAGTCGTCTGTCCTACTGTGCTGTGTGCATGCTGTGCACGCCTCGCGCTCGTTTGTTTGTTTACTTGTTGCTATTGCTACACGCAGAGCCCGCGAGAGATAAGGACACACTGTTTTTTGCCTCGAGATTCGATCAACGTGTGTGGTTTCGTGAACCGGTGCAACGATCATCTCCCCCGAACAAGGTAATGCACACCGATATACACAGAACGAGCTCGCGCGACCTTTTACGTAAAGTAGCGCAAAAAAAAAAAAAATTACTTCCGGAACAACAATAACGACCGAAAAAAAAGAGCGCGCGCGACTCGGAGCTCCATTACATAATTGACCGATCGTGACGATGCAACGCGTAACGTCTATAACTTTGTATAACAAAAGAAGAAAAAGAAAAAAAAGAGAGAATATATATAAAAGAACTCGACTTTGAAAGCGTTCACGTGTGCCGATTCACACACCTTTCAACCTGTTTTTTTTTTTTCATTCTGCACGTTATCCGCGCGTTGATTGCCGCGCGCGCGCTCCGAATTTTTCATTATTTCTATAAATAAATTCTCTCTCTCGCTTTATATAGGTGCTGGTCTTGAAAGTACTGCAATTCGTTTGGCACCTATATATGTACACGTGTATATAAAAGATATCGAACAGATAAAAGTTTACCAAACTTTGGCGCGCGATTAACTATCCCCTTCTTCGACTCGAGGGATGATGATGATGCACACACACACGTGCTATGTGCACGCGCGCGACTCGTTAGCTGCATATATATATCTATATAACGATAATAGTAAGGCCGCCGTCGCGGCGATCATTATTATATACCGAGCCTAGCCGATCGCGTCATCATCGATATTCGACGTTGCGCGTCCGTCTGTCTATATATTATTTATTTACCGTACACGCGATATCGCGTACAAATACGGGATTTATATATAAAAAACGAGAAACAATGCATATATTTATATATGACGTATCGCCGCTATCGATGAGGTAATAGACCCTCCATCGCCTGTCATGACGAACCTCGGATAGAACATATAGCGAACCGTGACATAAACTTTTGTGCATAACACACAGGCTGTGCAGCCGAGCTCGCCCACATATCGATCAAACAATGCGCCTCTCTCTCTCTGTGACGCTCTAGTCACCTGTAAAAACTTACCTATAGAGTTTCGCGTGTTGCGTTCCGTTTTCCCAATCTATGTGTGTTATACCTGTGTGTGTGTTGACTATATATCGTGCACAGATCCAGTATGCGCGGCTGCGGCGAGCAGGTAAACGGCGACGGCGACAACAGTGGCAGTCGAACAACAGCGGCAGCCGCTACCGACGAAGAAGCAGATTACGACGACGATCTGGCGGAGATCGAGGTAAATTATTCGGACGACGTCTCGGGCGACGACATGGAGGCCTGCTTCAAAGTCTTCGACAAGGACCAGGACGGCTATCTGAATCAGGCCGAGTTCGATCTGCTGTGCAAGGCCCTGTTTAGGAACGAGCAGGGCAAGGTCTATCCGCTGGACGAGGACGAGCTTAAGGACGTGTTCGAGGTGTTCGATACCGATGCCAATGGATTGATCGATAAGAAGGAGTTCGAGGTATTATTATACGATGCCAAAATTAAAAATTTGATTTTACGCGTAATTTTAAATTTACCTGCTACCGGATGTGTATTGGTACTTAAACACAAAAGCGCGCGGCACAAAAACGTCACTCAAGCGCGACGCGGATGATTTAACGATCGTATCTTATACGTGGAAACACCGAGCGCCGCGATTATCTTCGGTGTATATACCGCGATACGTTTTAACGATCGCAATTTAAAATCGATTGAATAAAAAAAAAAACTTTTTTTGAATTTTTTTTTTTTTTTCGGTAAACGCAGATGTGCTGGTACAAGTGGATCAAGGCGTGCACGCGGCCCAAGTGCGCCCTGCTGGTGGTCGACGTGCAGAACGACTTCATCACGGGCTCGCTCAACATACGCAAGTGCGCCGCGCGCCACGACGGCCACGAGGTCATAGCGCCGATCAACAAGCTCCTCGAGCAGGTCGCCTTCGACTCGGTCTTCTACTCGCTCGACTGGCATCCCGCGAATCACGTCTCGTTCATCGACAATCTACATCTGCGGTAATTATATAGTTTAATGAATAACGATCGATAATTTACGCGCGGCAATTATTAATTCCGATTTATTTACACGCACAGTGAACTGGACGAGTCGTGCAAGGCGCGCAAGGACGAGGTGATGGTCTACGACACGGTGACGTTCAAGGGCCCGCCCCAGGTTAAACAGCGACTGTGGCCGCGCCACTGCGTCCAGGACACGTGGGGCGCCGAGATCCACGCCGATCTCAAGATCGTCGACCGTGCCGTCAAGGTGTACAAGGGCACCAATCCGGAGGTCGACTCCTACTCCGTCTTCTGGGACAACAACAAGCTCTCGGAGACGACACTGTCGGCGCAGCTGCGCGAGCGCGGCATCACCGACATATTCGTCTGCGGCGTGGCCTACGACGTGTGCGTCGGCGCCACCGCCGTGGACGCCCTCGTGGCCGGCTACAGGACGGTGATGATCGACGACTGCTGTCGGGGCGTCGATCTCGACGACATCGAGCGCACCAAGTCGATGGTCTGTCACATGCACGGGGTAATAGCCCACTCGGATCAGGTGAAGAACATGGTGCAGGGTAAGGACAGGAGAGCCGAGTTGGGATACAAGCTCGCCATGGAGATCAAGAAGAAGAGATTGAAGAAGATCGAGGAGAGGGAGAAGGCAAAGACGGAGTCGGAGGCGCAGCATTGAGAGACGTTAGCTGAGGTGTTATTGTAAAAATTGATGATGATTATTACGTGATGGGTAGGCAAATTGTTTATATATATAGGTAGGTAGGACGTTCCATGCGCACTCGAGTCAGGGATTAGACTGCAAATGAACAAATTTTAACAGAACAAAAATAACAAAAATTTGTACGTAGAATTGTACTTTTTCTTAAAAATTGTGTAAAATATAACATATTGAACCTAGAGCTTTAAGAGGCACTAATGATAAAATAGCACTACGTTGATTAAAATCTCAATACAATTAGATCTGAATTATTTCAATTATTTAAAGATATAGACCTTTCAGCAATAAGTAGGGAAATTTGACTCGAATAATGTACAAACTAAAGTATATCTATTCCAAATGTCAATAAAATGATGTTCAACTAGTATTATTAGTTTACTTTGAAGTTAGAGAGCAAATGTTTTTTGTGATTATATCGACTTGTATAGAAGTGATTGTTTTTTTGAATAAATAAACCAGTTCTTCTTTTTTTTAAAGTATTTTTATCATTCGTTTTTTTATATACAATGAAAAAAGGTCTTTAACGGTTGGACTTGGCAACACGTTCCAATTCGTCCTTCTTCTTAATTGCATAAGAGTTGGAACTTCCCTTAGCGGCATTGATGAGCTCGTCGGCTAAGCATTCGGCGATTGTTTTGATGTTTCTGAATGCAGCTTCACGGGCACCGGTGCACAACAGCCAGATAGCTTGGTTGACTCTTCTGAGGGGGGAGACATCCACAGCCTGACGACGGACAGTACCGGCTCTACCAATTCTGGTGGAGTCTTCTCTGGGTCCTGAGTTGATGATGGCAGAAACCAAGATTTGGAGTGGGTTCTCTCCAGTCAGGAGGAAGATGATTTCAAATGCGTGCTTGACAATTCTGCAAGCCATCAGTTTCTTGCCATTGTTGCGACCGTGCATCATCAGTGAGTTGGTCAAACGTTCAACAATGTTGCACAGTGCCTTACGGAATCTCTTCTGTGCATACCTTCCAGCGGAATGGGGCAAGAATCTTGCATTCTTTTCCTTGACGGAAATGTAATCCTGGAGAGACATGTCATTGACATGAACATCTTCACAGGTCCATTTGCCAAAAAGTTTGATTTCTGGCATAGCGTCAGAGTGTTGCATTACTGGTGCCGAAGCAACTGCACCAGTTGCAACATTGGCGTCAGCCTCAGCATCCCAATTTTCCGACATGATTTATATATCTGAAAAATATGTTTACTAATGAGTATATTTTGTACAGACATTTCATATATGGAGATTTTAAAATGATGCTGAGTATAGTTGTCTGATCAAGGACGAATCATTAAAACGCAATCGATAAAAAGTTAATGATAACAGCAATAATAGTAACATAAAAAAATAATGAATATGAATCTTTCTACTAAGCCTGGGATGCCGTGTTAACCTATACGTATGACGCACAACATTTTATAAACAAAACCAGCGATGAAATCTGATTCATATAACGCGGAAATCATTTTACGATCGGGAAACTCGAACAGAACATCTTCACTCATTTGCATCGACACATTTGATCAATTTAATATATAATTTTTTGATTAATAATAGTTGACTTACACGTGCAGTAGAAAACATGCAGCAAGAAAGAGAAAAGAGCTGGTGAGGCAGCGCCCCTCGTGGCGTGTTCTCCGAATTTATCATCGGAGCAATTTTCGACTGCTGCGCACTTGATAGTTCGCGAGGTTTATTTGAAATCTGTCCGCGAACGAGCAATTCATTGATGCAGACTAATTCATAGAAATGAGACTCGATGAAATGATATAATGTTAGAAAAAAAACTTTCAATGCCAAATTTTTTGTTTTATAATTGATTTATTTGTAACAATACTTTTTCTGTATTATTTACAGCTAACAATAATTTTCAGATATAATAGATCGACTGTAACAATGATACTATGATTGAAATTTGAAGGGTTTTACTTAAACTTGCAGTTCAATAATACATTAGATAATGTACAATAATTATTTTACAAGTCAAACTGTGGATCTTTGATTCTGTTTCCATAAGTTTGTTCACACTTTTTTTATATTATATATAAATAAGCATTTTTAATCATCTTACACATACATGCCATTTCAAAAAAAAAAGAAGTAAAAAATGATTGCTACTTTTATTTAGAATAACAATTTCTAGCTATTAGATGAGAATTTTAAATTATTATACAATATTTAAAATCTAACTACTATTCTCAAGAGCTGAAAATGTAAGTCCAGGGGCCAGTTTCGTTGTTGGTAAGCCTTCTTTTGGCTTAGCCTTTTGTGTGTCTTCATCGGGTATTACTTTATCTATGACATGTTTATATACTAGCCCCTTATCATTCATATAAAAGGTGGAGAATCCATCGTGCCAGCTACAAAACAAAAATAAGGGTCATTATGAATAATTCATTTTTAATTTTTAAAATTATTCTAAGAATTTTACCTTTCAATATCTTTGACAGATTCTCTTATTTTCCAAACTTTGAACTTCCAAAATCGAGTTACCACATTTAATCCCGTCAATCCAACAATACGCCAACGTACTTTAACAGTATTATCCTGAGTATGCATAGTAATTCTTAGAACTTCTAGGCGTACAAAAGCAAACTTTAAATGACCAAGAATTCTTAACATCGCAGCTTGCTTAACATATTCAGGTAATCCTCTAAAATAATAGATAAATGTTTTTATTAATGCCTCAAATTCAATTAAATTCTACAAAAATTATACTTACTTTGTAGAGGTGCCTTTGATATTATTTACAAGTTCTACATGAGGATCATAGATTTTATAATCAATCGACTTGGTGAAAAAATTTGGTAACTGTAAAAATAAAAAATTTTAATTTAGATATATCTGAATACAATCATAATAATGTTAAACAAAGAAATTTTTTACTTACATCCACGCTCAATGTTTGATATATGTGATCCAGATTTTTATTATGATTTTCATTTGATTCATTTCGTTTCTCTTCCTTGGTTTGTAATTTGCATAATTGTTGTCCAGACAAGTCCACAGTATTCTTGGCAGGCGAAGCAAAACAAACACTGCCTGTATCGCTGAACTTATTGGCTACAAAAAAAGTTGCTCTGTGAGTAATAATATTCCAATTCAAGTCCTGTCGACTGGTTTTCTTGGTCGTAACAGTAGCATCTTGCGAAGATTTCAACCGCTCACAAGTTAAACCTTGTCTCAGTCCTTGAGGCATTGACTGATAATTTTCACAGCTCGTTAAGAATGTAACTTTATCACCTCTTAGCACACTAGCGTCGCAGTCAATTTTATCACTGTGACTCTTGACGAAGCTTTGCTGCTGCTGTTGCTGCAAGCTCAAACTTTCTGGTAAGCGTGTGGCATGCTGCAACTGATGATAGTGCTCCTCTCTGGTCTTCAATGGTGTCACGAATGATGAATTAGGGCTCAGGAACTGAAATGCAAAGTTTATATAAGATAAGATGGTACAACTCCATTTCTTCAAATGTTTACACAGTCAAGCACGTTCTGTCCAGTGACAGTTTATGTTCCATAAAATTTCAACATCGTCGTTACATAAGACGCCATACAAAAAAGAAGTTATGATCTCGAAGTTGACGGAGCTTCGCGCGGATGACACCGTCGCGGCACGCCGAGGCGTCGCGTGGAAAAAACCACGACGAGCAACGAGGATGACATTACCTGATTGAGAAATGCCGAGGAGGCGTGTTGACCGGACAGATGCCGGCTGCCGAGGCACCTGACAGTCATAGCGGCGCATCCGGTGCTGCTGGCCACTATGATGCCGGGTACGAAGCGGCTGCTGCTCCTGATGCAGCGCGACATGTTCTCTTCTCTGTATTTTTTATTTTTCGCACGAGTTTATATCGAGTATCTACCGGCACAGTCACTGGCAACGTTGATAGACACTCACTCGCGCACACCCACACACAGAGACAGAGACGATCAAGTTATTAAGGCTGTCTCGCCGAAGTCTTTATCGATCGACGTGGTTTCGCGATAGAGATGCAATTGCACTGCTATATACAACACCGCGCACGAAACTTCTCGCACTCCGTCGATTTTCTGCACAGCTACATATGATTCTATCTATGTGTATATATACACACGCGCAGTATAGCAGAATAACAGCTGACCGCCCGACGACGTTAATAGTACGCAAAATCCGTCGTCTAGGGCCGTTCGACGACTCGAGTCATGCGCACTTTTGCGATATATTTCTGCTGCGAAGTATAGAATGTCACGAATCGCCGAGTCCAAGTACAAAAATTACGCACTTGTGCGAGCGCGGCAATTTAGAAAAAAAAAATTCATATCGTGTACGACAGCATGATAATCACGATCGAGCCGGTAAGCCGTATACACGGTCGATGATCGCGGGTTATAATAATCAAATTGTAAACACTTTTCAGGTGTAGCACACACGCGCATACTTGCCAACCGATGTGCGCAGCACAGGTATAAAGCTCTGTAATCAGTACTGCCAACGAAGCGCCAAATTCAAATTTTTTTCACGAGTCAAAGAAGAAAGGAAAACTTGGAGTTAGGGTTTATTTTCAAAAAATTCTTTATTTATTCATCGTTTCGTTTGAATTAATATACAATACTTAATTGATCACATTGACGACGCGACACATAATATACACATTTTTTGATGGTATACGCACATCAAGCGCATATATGTAATAACGAATATACATATGATTATACGTCAAACTTATACATTTAATCGTAACTTCGATAAATTAATTATCGCTTATTTTATTTATTCATTATTTTCTTTTTTTCTTCAATACAAATAGCAATAAACAACGAGTAAAATCTGTAAGTAATAAAAATAACTCCTCTGTGGTCGAAAATCGGCTTGTTTTATATCATTCATTTGTTTGGTATTTTTTTTTTTTACATACAACGTCACCATATCTCAACTTTCCTTAAAATAATCTAGTCATTTTACTAACAATCTTCATTACATTTTCAATTTTTTTTTTGTTTTTGGCGCTTTGTAATAATAGTAACGATCACACACGCGGCTTCGATCGTTTTCAACAATCGAGTAACGAAAAAAAAAAAAAAAATAGTATAGTTGCGTGTTCAGCACGTATAACAAATGTAAAATATCCGAGTATTCGTTTGACAATTATGCTTTGTTATTTTCGCTCTATTATTCACATGCAACGGCTACAATCACAGTCGTATCTATATAATATGTTCAGAAGCCGCAGAGATGAATTTTTGGCTCCTGTCGATATCGTTGTTTTTTATTTTCGGTTTGTTTATTGTGTGTGTGTGTGTGATTCAATCGAAGGCTGCAGCGGTGGGCGCCACCTCGAGCAGCATCTGTAGAAACGCGTTCACTCCGTCTGCAAGTACAAAAAAAAGATCCGTAAGTCATCGTTTTCTCGTCTCAAAAAATATGAATGAAAAAAATCAGCTGCTTATGAACGGCTGCAAGATATGAAACATCTTCATCAATTAATTAAAGAATTACAAATTCACAGTTAAATCAAATAAAAACGAGAAAATCGATCAATTAAGTAATAGTCAAAACAAAAATCAAGAAACAAGAAGAAAATTCCAACACAATTAGCATCGATGTTTCACATCTTAAAATCAGAGTAATTTCTTGAGCAATTAACCAAATTCGATATACCAAACTTACCCATGAACTTGGGCACGTATCCGTACTTCACGAACGGCACGTAAAAGAACATGCCGGCCCCGATGAACGCCGCCGCGTACAGATACTCGATCTGCGGATTGTCGACGATCGGCGCCACGATCAGAAAAATCGATATCACCAGCACGAGGATCGGTATGGCCAACGGGCATCTGTAGGGCCTCGGATGATTCGGCCTCGTTCGCCTCATCACCAGCAACGCCAGCATCGAACCGCCGTAGAATATCCAGGCGGTGAAGGAGAAGAAGTCGATGAGCGAGTCGATGCTGCCGGACAGTATCATGGCGCCGGCTACGAGCGAGTGAAAGATCAGGCCCGGGGCCGGGGTGAAGCGTCGCACATGGACGTAGCTCAGGCAGTCCATGAGGTGGCCCTGACGCGAGGCGGCGAAGCACAGACGGCCAGCGGCGAACAGGGTGCCGTTGGCCGAGCCGAAGGTCGACACTGCGACGGAGAGCGGCATGAGCCAGGCCATCACGCCGAGGATGCGATTGCCGAACGTCTGTTGAGAGATGATGAGAGAGAGATTAAGGGTAATGTTGAGATTGAGTGCAATTTGTTTGTGCGTCATTTACGTATAACTTACTTGTTAAAGTCGTATTGTATATGATCTTATATATAACGCATCATTTCCGAGAGTAAATTCCTTACTATACAAAATTATATGTACTATTGGAATCTACTCGACAAAAATGCACGCTTAGTTTTCAATTTCCGGGCCGGAATCAACCGCAATATACGATCGAGATCGATTGATTCCAGCTTCGTTACAGTATAATAAATAATAGCCAATGAAATGAATGTCGAGGATAACAAATAACTCACCACTGCCACGGCCTCGCTGTCGATCATCTCCAGCGGCGACATGACCGCCAGGTAGGATACATTGATCAGAGCGTAGCACAGAGTCACCAGCGGTATACCGATCATTATGCTCCTGGGCAAATTTCTCGACGGGTCCTTGATCTCCTCCGTGACGTAGTTGAGATTGTTCCAGCCGTCGTAGGCCCACAGGCCCGTGTAAAAAGCCGTGGCCAATTTGCCGTAAAATTCGGCCTCGGCGAAGACGCTACTCGATTGCTGCTGCTGTTGCTGAACGGTCGCTTCCTCCGGCTTCTCCTCGAAGCTGTCGAAGGTGTTGCGCAGGTGCTGGGTATTGCCCTGCAAGAGTTTACAAGTGCCACCCGCGACGATAACCAGTATGGCGATGAGCTTACCGGCGGTGAAGGCGTTCTGCACGCCCGTCGCCAGATTCACGCTGTAGCAGTTGACCAGCAGTATGAGCACCAGTGCGAGGAGGGCGACGAGTTTCACCACCTCGCCGGGTGGATCGCACTCCGAGGCGAAGGCCTCGACGGCGTACTGGGCGAAGGACAGACAGATGATGGCCATCTGCGAGGGCTTGAGCACGAGGGTCGAGACCCAGGAGAAGAGGAAGGCCGGTGGGGCGCCGAACGCGTCCATGAAGTAGGCGTACTCGGCGCCGCTGCTCGTGTTCATGGTGCCGAGCTCGGCGTAGGCGAGGGCGCCGCAGAGCGACAGCAGGCCGCAGCCCGTCCACACGACGAAGCTCATGCCCACGCTGCCGGTGCGTATCTGTTCAAATCGAGAATAATCATAATAATGTAACTCGAAACCGAGTCGTTATGATTGACTTTTACGAACGATCGAGTTCTCCGAAATAGGAGCGCAAGTCAAGCGATAAAAATATGATCGTTTGAATATTTTTTTTCACGACTCTAAAAAATTAATAAGTAAATCAGCGTCGACTCACCAATAGACCGGATGGCGAGACGAAGATTCCCGATCCAATCATGGTGCCGACGATTAGAGCCACCCCACTGACGAGTCCCACCCGTCTCTTGAGGTGAACAGGGTCGTCCTTCTCTGGGTCCGGCCCCTCCAGACCTCGGGGCCCTCCCCCACCGTCCCCGTCGTTACCCGGATCGTCGATTGGAGCGGGCGACGGCGACGACTGCTGCTGCTGTTGTTGTTCCGACGACGACGTTTCGGCTGATGCTGTTTTTCCGATGCCACCTGGGCCTGTTGCGTTGCCATTGCGCATTCGTAAATTCGAGACTTGCTGCTGTGGATTTTGTGGCTGCTGCTGCTGCTGCTGTTGATCCGAGCTATTAGCGACTTGAGGGTTTGATTGGACAGCTGCGAATAAATGGAAAATTGATCTTCAATTGGTCGTTTATTTTCGTTCGCGAGCTTCTATGGATGGAGAATCGGTTATATGTGCGTACAAAAGACTCGGAAGCTTATATACGTACTTCAAAAAATCAAAGTGATGCATATTATTATATCATGCATACCCAAGTATCTGCTTGGATCACAAAACTTTTATATCATAATTTTTTTTTCTCCTTTTTTTTTCATACATCTCGTAATAACAAACTATACAGTCGAACTCGTCGAGGCTCCACTTTGCAGCATTTAAGCTCTTGGCAAATGTTTGACGCGCATACGTGCACATCCGTCGACGATGCCTGGTTTACACACTCGCGCACAAACGTATACTCACACGCACATAGAGGAAAATCAATCGAGCGTCGTTTATGTGCCTCGTGCGCGAGATCAACGACGATTTCGATACAATATCCGCGTCGATTTATTCGCGATCGTCGTTTTTACGGAAATTGAAACAAAATTTTCTGCTGGAGCTTTCGAGTAAAAAAAAATTTTATAAATAAATATTTGTTCAAAAGATATTGGGTGTCCGTCGCGTTTTACGTATCATATACGTGTTTGTACGTGTGTCCACTTAAGAGCTCTTGTCGCACAGAAGCACGTGTGTATGTAAGTGCTATATCGCGCAAGAGCGAATTGCCAAAAATAAACGTGTGTCTATATTAATAATGTCAAGCCGGTTATACACGCGTTTAGCAGTCAGCAGCAGCAACAAACAACTCGTGATCCGCTCGACGACGACGATGACAAAAAACGTCCAAGTGTGAATGCCCAATGCAAACGATACGTATATGTGTGTAACGCTCCTAATTGTCTCGGGCGCTCACTCGGCTGTGCTCTGCAGCGAAGCTAATGTTCAGTGACAGAGATAGAGAGAGCTGAAAATATATATATTTGTATATTGTCGTGCGAGCGCGCCGAGACAATTCAACCGATATGATATAATAGCTCGGTTAGATTCTCTCGAGTTTCTCGAAATTTATGCTTTTATTGCCGTGAGCTTGTGCAGAGCATCGAGAGTTATGTAGTTGGAATTAATCGAGCGTATTTTATGGCCGAGTCGAATGTCCAAACTGTCGTTTTTTATTCTTTTAAGGAAACTCGATAAATTTTTCGGTGATAAAATGTCCGTATTAGATTTTGACTTTTATCTTTTTCTCTTCATAATGGTTAACTGTCAAAGTGCTCCGAGTCGTTTGAAGTGCTTTATTCTTGAAAGCTCGAATGATTCCCCGCAAAACTTGATAGTTCTTTTCTCCTTAAAACACTCAGGGCCGATCCAGGAATTTTGTCTAAATTTTAGCAATAATCGCAAATTTCGGGAAAATGTCAACTTGAGATCTCCGACAGAGAAATACGAAATAAAAATAACTTTTTTTTTAATTATACAAAGAATCAGCCATACAATATCGTCGATAATTTTCAAAGGAGATCAAACGATCGAAAGAAAGAGAGAGCGCAAATGTGTAGAGTTCAGGGTAATTAATAATCGTTAATTCGTATAATAGCCGCATATAGTCGCAGTCCAAAAGATAAACGCCGATGCTAAGTATATAACACTCCTACAATTATATACGCACACATACACACACGTACACACTCATAAGGTAATCAGTTTCGAGCCCTGGATTTATCGATCTCGCCGAGTGCATCCGTGTACAAACTCGCGAGCCTCGTACATTTTAAGTATAGATATATTTCGAGATCGACGAAATTCCTATAATGCACTCGAGAGCTCGAGCTTGGTCGGTCGTGTTTATATATATAGATGCCTGTATACGCCGATTTGTAAAGCTAATCAATGCGACGCTCGTAATGCCATCCTTGAGAATATTTCAAAGCTGATGATATTCCTCGACCGTCGAAATTACGATGATACGATCCTAATCTCAAAAATGAAAAAAGGAAGCGGTAAAAGCAGCGTCGAGTATCGCGTTGATTTTCGGCACTGCGCTCAAACGCGTATCGCATTATATCTATATAGTTCGTATATCGTCTGTCTCTCTTTCAGCTCGTTGAGTTTATATTTGAGAGTACATCATCAATCTTCGAGCTACCTTATAGCGTCGGGCGGAACACACGACGCGAGCGCAAATTGCCCAAGACGCTTTTTCGCAAGCTCGAGCCAAAGCAGCGGGCAATGATAATAATAATACACCCTTACTGTGCTATATCGATATATATATACGAATGCACGCATTGTGTCGCGCGGAGCTTTTCCTTTTCGGCGTCACAATTAAAAGCTTTTCCATTCTTCTCTCTTCATTTTCTCGCCCACCCTCCTCGCTATACTGATAATCGCAACGCGGGCGGGTGGAACACACTACTACTGCTGCTGTTGCTATTAACCTTGACTTTTGAAAGCTCCGGCGCTCGCGAGCTTGCGATTGAGAAAAGAGTCGTCCAGTATATAGTTCGCGCGGTACACGAATGTAGTAGTTAACACGAGTTCGGTTACGTACGATATACATTATGTGTGTGTGTGTGTGTGTGCACTGCAAAAGTACGCGCCGTACACGTATGTAAGTACAGATAAGTATGGGCTTTCATCGCGCCGGCGCCGAGCTCACTCTATATTTTCTTTTGCAAGCCAGGCACATACACGAGGCTTATATGCATGTATATACACACGTATATAAGCGACGAAATATGCGATTCAAGTGCGCGAGCGAACACACACGCACGCCCCAAGGTCGCATATTTTCTCTGGTTTCGTGTGCTGCCGCACACACGTACACGCACACAAACTCGCACACGTACATCACGCGTTTGCGTGTATATGTAGGCCAAGAAAAGAAAAAAATATTGCTACCCGCGCGTCAAACTTGACAGCTCGAAAAGCAGCAGCAGCAGGTTGTTGTGTGCGCCGGCTGTACACACATTCGCGCAACCTGTTTTTTGCTCATAGGCATCGTCGTACATCAAAGTTTATTGCATATATAAGAATAAAAAAGTATTGTACACTCGACGAATCGACATCGCGATGATCGTTTGAATATACACAGCATTCGATAAAACGCAGTGTGTGTTGCGACGTCGCAAAAGCCACGCCTTTTCATACGACCCCCCAACCCTCTCGCTTTACTTCTTCCCTCTGTGTGCAATAACGGCGCAATAGACTCACTCTTGCTAGCCGCCCCCGCCGAATGCATGTATGTAAAAATATGTTATGTGTGTGTGTAGAGTAATCGCGAGGGAGGATAGACGTGTCGGTGCATTATAATGCTGTATATAACATTATAGACTTTCTGCCACACACTGGATGACATCGTTATTATCTGGACTATTGTGCGCTATACGCTGTACAATATTATACACATATATTTCTCTTTCTCTCTCGCTCTCCATATTATAAAGTTCAGCTTAACACGAAGTCGAGTTTTACAGCTTTGCACACGACGAACCGCGTCGACGATGATTGTACTAAATAACGTGTTTGTTTCTTTTCTTTTCTTTTTTTCGTTCTCTTTCTTTTCGTTTCATTCTATGTTTCATTTCGTTTTTTTTTTGTATACACTCTCGGTTGCAGACCATCGCGCGGAGATGTGTGTCGTCGTGTGCAAAATTCGTGCGGAAATCGCGACCAAAAAAAAAAAATTGTTATCGCGTGCGACCGGTTTATAAATATAGCAATCGGTTACGATTGGTCGGCACGACGTAATCGCATTACGATATAATACATAACTAACGTAATGCACGATCGAAATTTTGCTGACAATAGTATAGAAACGCACTACGGATTCATCTCGCGTTACCGATCTCCCCGATTTCCTCGTTAATCGGCGAGCTAGTAAACGCAGTTAATCCCACGCTCGTAAAAATTCCACACGAGTCGCAGCAAAAGAGAGATTTTTAAAGCCGAAGATACGTGCGCCGCGACACAATTCCCCGAGAAATCGAACATCCGCGTAAACGCACGTCCGCATTTCCGTACGGCGAGCTTTGCGCGCTTCCGATATATATCTCCAAAGTTAGTATAGGGTTTCTTTCGCTCGTGCCGGACGCACACATAAAATACACACACATATTCTGAATAATACGTGCGCGCCCCGATTGGCATGTTATAACTCGAGTACAAGAACCTCGCGTCGAAATAATACATAAACTACGTGTTGCTCGTAAACACAACCGACCCAGACACACCCAGCTCGAGCTCGAGAGTGTGTAAATATCAGTATAGCATCGTATAATACACATAATTCAAAATCAATTTGTCCGAGTTCTAACGAGCTTATTCCCTAAGTCTAAATAGCTTATGTGTATCTGCGTTCATATTTGATATAGGTCTGCGCGTACGTTTATATATGTATATACGAGCCGATAAATCACTCGTCGACGGATAGACGTTGTTTATAATGCTCTTCTAAAATGCGTCGGTGCGCAGCTTCCTATATATATACGCGTTATAATAAATAATTCATATATAAATACGAGCTAGCTAGCTAGAGAGAGAGAGATATCGCCGAACGCATAAATCGCTCAACGTTAATCTTATTAATAAACAGCTCGAATCTGAAATTTCGCCGCGGCGCTCGGAAAAAGCTCGATCGCACGTATAGTTGTGCAAAAAAGCTCTCAGCGCAGCGACCGATTTACCAACGGTGCACGTATACAACCTGTTTTTAGCTGAAAAAAATGTTTTTTTTTGTGTATAAAACAAGTCGTAAAATTTGGCTTTTTACGAGTTAATTCTACACTCCAACGCGGAGGCCACCGTTATACATATATACCTAAAACACAAGTGCACACACGGAGCTGCACGACCGATTGACCGAGTATCGAAAGCTCGACACACGTATATATACAGCGAATCCCCGAGCATCTCGTTAAGCTTGAGGCAATTTGTAGGCGTCGTATTTTAGGAAAATTCGCGCGTACATCTGTACGCACTCGCGTTGCGCTTTTCTCGTCCGCTGCTGCTGTTGCGCGCGCTTGCGTATACGCGCGCGCGAGAGAGCGGCGCGACTGACGCAATGCTCTTGCGCTATTGTGTATCGTATATACAGCAGCTTTTCACGGATGTGTGCAAAGATCCCGCATGGTATTATCTATAGGAATCTGGATTAATCGAGGATTGAGAAGGGAGAAAAAAATCAGCGAGCGAATGGATGGATTGGGATAATTTGGAGCTTTTTTCGATTCGTCGAATGCAAGAACAATAGAAGAGCATCTGGTGCGATTGCCGGGAAGGGCTGCTGCTGCTGCTGCTGCAGTCGGAAGTTACGAGATAGATAGATAGAGAGACCTTAGCCAAGCCAAAAGCTCGCGCACGAGCTTGCAGCAGCGGTCGAAAAAGCGTTAATGAACTTGGCGCTTTTCATCGTCGCCTAAATACGGTCTATAAATTGCATCTCGTGCAAAAGCTCGGTGTACGAGATTATTATTATTGCACCGAAATTATACGAATGTCTCTTACCTCGTTTGAGTGAGGCGGCAGCGTGCATGACGACGGCGACGTGGACGATTCTCGGAGATGACGACTACGGGGCCGAAAATCTGCAGCACTGCACTCGGGGCTCTGACGATGGTCGTGGTGGTGGTCGGTGGTGGTGGTGGTGATGGTCTCAGTTATTGAACAACTGCCGCTCATGACACGATCCGTGCGCGATTTAACACGCCACGAGAGAGCGAGTTAGCGAGCGAATATATATTATTATGTATTTTGTATACGGTCAACGACAATTTTTTTTTTCGCTATTCTCTCTGCTCTCATACAAAAAGTATCACGTTTATAGAACGGGGTCTCTCTTCCTTTTGTCCAATGTTGTTTCAACTTTATCAACTGTGTATTAATAATATTTATACGAGCTGTCTCGAGTCCGATTTGCGAACGGCTCGTGTGTCGAAGGTGGAGAGTGAGAGAGAGAGAGAGAGAGAGCTGCCTTATGTCGGTGTCCTCGTCTATGTGGAACACCTTATATCAGACGCGTTGCACGTGTTGCTGCTGCTGTGACAATGCACCACACGAGACACGGAGGAGAAACAGAGAGAAATTCGATATTACGCACTATTGAATCAGGAGCACAAAACACACACGTGTATTGGACAAGGCGTTGCAATTATCAATCTGTATCTGTATTATTATTATATATAAACGTGATATACACACGCGGACCAAACTGCACTCGAATTACTCTCTCTTCGTGTGACATATAACTATATGTATATACGTATCTCGAGCGAGAATCGATCAATCTATACAATACCGGAGGCAGCTATTTGATGCTCCGCTGCTATCTCGGGCTCACAGGGCAATAAATTTTCTCTCCCATCGATTCACCCGATATGTTTTTTTTTTTATTATCCCAGACTCCCTTCTTTTTATATTATCTATACGCGCTCTGTATATCGACGCATATGTTTGACGATGTAATACGAGGAAATAAAACTCGTGCGTGTGTACCAGATACTGTATACTATAAATTCACGCGCGAGCGAGCGACGAATCCACGTGTGTGCACGACCGTACGCGACTGCGACTTGGGCGATTGCAAATGTATATATACGAGGCGCGGGGACGTGTACACGTATCGGACTGAGTACAATAAGCGAGAGAGAGTCGGTCAGTGCAGGTGCGGAGAGCTCGTGCAGTCGGTTTTTCGCGCAAGCGTCGTCGTCGTGCGGTGGCGATCCTATACACACGAGCTGCTATATATGTATTCAACGAGGTGATGCGCGATCGGAGAATCGTATACACATAGGAGAGCAGACGGGGACAGACTAAGCTGGCGCGCCGCGGATATATCGCGAAAGCTCGTCGCGCAGCCGCTATAGCTCTCCCCAGAAGTGCAGCTATATACACACTTTTTTTAATGCAGCGGAGCTGCTGTGCATCGAGTAATATATACAAACCTGTATATTCCCGGCCCCCTACCCACCCGACTCGCTAGAACGCCTACGCGCTGAATCTTTACGCGCGTATTTGTTTATCGTGTGTAAACTTTAGTTTGAAATTTTCTAGCGCGGTTGTATTCGTTATTTTTGAAAAAAAAGCGCGAGCTTTGATACGTACAAAGCGGATTGCGCGCGATTCATTCGAGCTTTCGAGTGCACAGAGCTTGCGACGAGAGAAATTCGACGATTATTCATTTGATCTCGAAAGTTATCCAAGGAACAAAATTTAATCAACGAACGAAGCTAATGAAATAGTTTCGGAATTTCACGCAGCGTGAAAAATTAATTTAACTTTGCGTGTTTTGATTAAAAAAAGGAAGGAGATGGAAGATGCGCGTATTTGGAATCGATATTACGAAGATGCGTATATTTTTCATCCGATACTTTCCATCTAACGTAAAAGCGAAAGTTTATAAACGAAACGTAATATTCCTTGAAACTTCGTGATACTTTTTTTTAATTTCCCTACTCGTTTTCTACATACGACGTCTTTAATTGATCGAATTGTGGTATACACCCGCGCTTGCGAGGAATGTCGAATAAATGTCACCTTTTTTCTCTCCGCTTTCCACTTTTTCGATCTTTCGAGTTTACAGGGGGCGAGTTCTCTTCTTTTTTTTTTTTTTTTTTTAATTCCACAGCAAATATTCTTTCGATCGATACCGACGAAAATAGCGCCGTTGTACGCGAACTTTTCTCAATGTTAAAAACTCGCGGAATCGAACGGCAACGGTCAACACAGCGACGTGACTTTTTTTTTCACGAGCTCGATTGGCTTAATTGAGTATATAGCCGGGACGCCAAGTGGCCTCTCTCAGCGAGCCGATATACCGGAAAATGAGTTAAAGACGCCAGACCAGACTCGATGCGTGATGCAAGTTTTATATCGTGCAATATCCTAAAATTGACGTTAATCGGTAAAACGTTCTTTGAAACTTTCTTGGGTATCGTTCACGAAACGATCACGTGATTCTCATGCCTCAACGTGGATGTATGAAAAGGAAAAACGAGATTAGTTGGTAAAACATGGATTTATTACAATTTTTTTTTTTCTTTTTTATAAGGAAGATAAAGATTAATTTCGACGAATTATTAATGAGTTTTGTTTATTCTCGAGAATGTATAAAATAATTTGTATAAGTTGTATAAGTAAACATCATTAAAATTCATTGGAAAAGTACAAATCATTGTAAAAAATCACACTTCAAATCAGACAGCTGTCAATTTAAGTAATGATGCAAATATCTTGGGGTAAAGGAAATCTAAAATCATTTCCATTGACTATTTACATTACAACTTGCGACAGAGTGTCGTTATATTAAATTGCATAAAACAACCAGAAACAAGTGTGAAAATGAATTGTCTCATCGCAATGGCTGCTGCGATGAGATGTGCACAAGTAACCAATATCAATTCATTTCCACTATGCATTGGTAATATATATTTTTACATAACACTCAAGTCCAGTCATTAGGAGCTGTCAGTAATCGGACATGCTTTATACATATACAATCTTTTAACAATATAGTTAACTATCTTATAGTTGTATTATTATAAAAAGATAAAATACTTAATAGATTCCTCTTGTTAATATGTGCTGATGAAGAAACGATACACCAGAGTTACCATTATTCCAATGGCGAACGGGACCAGCCAGGACTTCCATGAACTGCAATAGGCAATTGTCACATGATGATGCAGCAGGTGCTAGTTTTTATTTTTATTATTTATTACTTTGCGACTGTATTCAAACTTTGTTTTCTATTTAATTTATGAAATCTTAGCGTTCAAAATGAAGAGTAGGTTTTTGACCAGAGATGAGCTTAGTATAGCGGTGCATGAATATTTGAACCTCAGATTAGCCCTTGAATTAAGTTTGACTACTTTTATGTTAATCACAAATTAGTTTGTTTGTATACACTTGCAAAGCAATTTTTTAAATATAAAGTACTTCAACCATTCACATTAAAACTTGAAATATTTTTCTTTATCATCATACAAATGACATGTATAACTATATACATTGAGATACTTACGATGGCTCATCTGGTACGCTGGGTTTTCTCGTCTCACGATCCTCCTACAGTAACAAAGTTCATTTATAAATAATGTATTTTAAAGCTACTAAAAATTATGGTAAAATAATACAAACAAGTGCAAGTTCTCCCAATTTAAGAGGCACCATCATTTCTCGAGCATCAGTGGAGTGACCAACATCTTCGAAGGTTTCAGTAGCATCCTTGCCTCCTTGCTCCAAGAGAACTTCCTCGCCTCCAGGATGCTGAGGACAAATTTAAAAAAAAAATAAGCACAGTTTAAATATGATCTTGAGGAACAACTGATCTCTTCAAAACTCAACAAGGGACTTTAACTCCAATCCCCAAACAACATTGAGAGATTCAAGTTTTTGAGGTTATACGCAGTCCTGTCCACCCGGACGAAATTGTAAAGCACTAAGTACCTGCTCGTAGAAGGACGTCACATCGTAAACGCCGTTGTTGACGATGATCCAGCAGGACTCGCGGGTATTGTGTTTTTCTATCTCGTTCTTTGCGAAATACTTGACATTGCTTTCTGCTGTAGCGGACGCCATTTCTTCAAATTGTATATCTGTTGCAAGGATGTCAGTTGTATGTACGCCGAAAAGTATAACACGTCTAACGCAAGGCCGTTAGAGAAGTTTAGAAATCGGATGATGCGCTGCACGCGTGTTACACACGAACACCTGCAGAGAGCACCAAAAATTGCCACCTCAGAGTGGTGGGCTCGACTCTCTCTCTCTTTTTTCTCTGCTCCTATCCTGTTTACCGGTAGGGTTGCGCAACTGAGATTATATACGCGTATATAGTACGGCGCGTTAATTGTATTCTGCTGATGATTCGAAAAGTATAAAATCGGGGAGACTTATATGAATTATTTTTCGTTCATTCAGGAATTCCTTTTCATGAATTTGAAAAATAATAATTAAATCGTTCAGCTAAAAGTTGTCACTACACGTGTACCGAACGAGATTTCAAATCTGACAGGTGCAGCAGTGTCATATCAATTTTGATTAATAAATATTTTTATTTCTGCATGAATTAGACAGTGAATAATGGTCATCAATTAAATATTTTTCATCCCTTTCTCCCTTTGTTCCCCAAAAAACATTTTGGTTGGACATCTGAACTGTTATAGTACAGTTCCAATAATGATAAAACTGATTAAAGTACTCTTTGAAGAAGGAGCCACTGAGTCGTACAAATCAGTATCTAACATGTTCACTGACACATGAACATTGTTCAGGCTCTTTCATTTACAACTATTACGATGCCAAAGAAACAATTAAAGTAAGAGCTCTCCAAAGTACAACATTATTTGTTTAAATTAACATAACTCAATGTAACTTTTGACTAACAAAATGTAAAGCATAACTACGCATGAGTGGGAGTGAAATTATAAAATTAGCTATAGGGACAAGAGAAATGACACATTAAAATTTTCAACAATTTTTCAAGTCTTTTATTGGCACGAATGGAGAACATTTTCCATCATAGGTTAAAAATATTTAAAATTCATTAATCTTCAACTAGCATTAAAAATATTGATGCATATACATTTCTTCAATGACATAATTAAATGCGCGATCAACTAACAAATTTAATTAAATATATTCGCTAAATAAATACTCTAATCTTACATGCATACGTCTTATAATCTTTTAAGATTCTTCCTTTGATCTAGAAAAATAGCGCACCTTAATACTATAATATATTTACTCGAACTTTTCTTTGCTTGGTATAGTTCATTTGTTTGACATTATTTTTAAGGAAGTGATCGAATTTTTAATTCATCTTCAAACTTTAATGGCTAAGTCGGTAATAGGTATTATTATTATATTATTACAGTTAAGAGTCATGATAGTTTATTTTAGTTTTTAATTGAATTGGCATTATTGGCAATTTTATAACATTGATACGATCACATTGTCTCACATTAATAAGTTTTACTTTGAACCAAGTTCATAGATTGATTATTCACTCGCACGAGCGCGTCGAATGATGCATGCGTCATCATAATTTTTTAAAAAATTTCATAAGACTCAACAATATACTTAATAAAGTACATTCTGTAGTACAAATTCTTGTATACAATGGTATTATTAAAAGTTAATTATACGTCAGCGGTATTTACCTGTAAATAGAATTTAAAAATTTCGCAATGATTAGTTAATCAAGAAATACTATCTTTGATTTGACGAATGACGTTTTTCACCGTTTCAAGTTGTCAATACTAAAACTAGACAAATCATTTATATTGCTTCTCTAAAAAAATATAAAGCGAATAAAATTTTGTTTCGACGAGCCTAAAATAAATCTATAAGCGCTCGGTACCGTTCATGTATAAATATAAACTTTAATATAAAAAATCTACGCCTCAATAATCGAAAAATAAAAATCGACGAGTTCGCTCTATCTGTCGTGTAAAAAAATTAATTTCGTTATAAATATAAACTTCAATATAAAAAATCTACGCCTCAATAATCGAATAATAAAAATCGACGATTTCGCTATCTGTCGTGTAAAAAAATTGATTTCGTTATTCGTACCTGACATCGTCGATTTTTGGATATTTCCATTTCTCATCGACCGTATAGGAGTCAAAGGATTATGCTCGGACTTGACGAAAGCGCAAACGATTAACACACATATATACACGACAGAAGCGTTAAACATTCCAACATTCACATTCGACCATCGAACTTTGACAAAACTATCTATTATCTTACGGACTAAACGCACAATTACAATCCACATAAACGCGATAAAATGAATAAAAAATATATATCGAAGGAAAGCATCGTGTGATTGCACTCACTAGATTGGAGGTATTACATTGTCACATTCTGTATACAATATAATAATCTAATATATAACACGTTTATATAATAGCTTTTTCTTTTTGTTTTCATTATTATTTTTTTTTTTCGTCAATTCGAAACTATCTACTCGGACGCCGAAACTCGCGAGTCTCGCAAGCGCTTTGATTTGTCACAATAAATATATAATATGTTTTTGTTTATGTATACAGTTAATATACGTCACGACTGCGGGCATTCATATGGCATTGTGTCACTCTTCTGCTCCACTATATATATATATTACTTAAAAATTAGCATATCTACTATTAACTACTCCTCCTCGACGTACTCCTTGGGGAAGAAGCCGACCTGATTGCCGATCTTGCCCTTCCACCAACCTTTGGCATCGCCCTCCTTGCTTAATACTACGACTCGGCGGCCCTTCTGCAGGCTGAGCTCGTTGCGCTCGCCGCCCTGAAAGTCGAACAGTGCTTTGGCCAGTATGCGCCTGTAGGGCCACTGCAGGCGCTGATCGAGCTTCTCGAAGTTCTCGGTGAGCGACACGCGCTCGTAGTACTCGACGAGCTCGACCACGCTCTTGAAGAAGCGCGACTCGCTCAGGAAGTACAGGTCGGCCCCGTCCACCTCGCGCTTGAAGATTCTTATGTGCTTCACCGTGCCGTCGGCTCTGCGTTAAAAGAAAACAAAACAAAACAATGTGAATTAAAAAAATAAGTAAAGCAGGAAGGAGAGAGAAGAACAAGAGGAAAAACTCACTTGAGACTGAGAGCGTAATTGGTCTCGTTCTTGAGCCTCGGCTGGGCCTGGGGTGGACGAGCGCGCACCATGTACGTACCGTCCTCGCGCGCCTCCAGCTTCTGCGTGGCAAGATCGCGGCCCATCTCGCCGACGTACCAGAGCTTTGCAGATAGCTCGCGCTCGAACGGCTGCGGCGGCGGCGGCGGCGGGGGTGGCGGAGGCGGCGGCACGGGCATGCACCTGCCCGAGTGCACGATGCACTGCTTGTGCACGGCCAGCCGGCAGGTCTCGCATCGGTAGCCCTGGAATATGCGGCCCTTGAGGAACTTGCCGCACCTCTCGCAGCTGCGCGCGCTGTCGAAGGTGGTCAGCCGAAACTTGTGATCGGTCTGGCGACAGGCCGCGGGCGACAGATTGTCCATGGCGTCCTGCAGCGCCTTCATCCAGATCTGCTTCTGCTCGTCGGTGCGCGCGTACAGCGTGTAGGCCTTGCAGCCCTGATTGTGCACGAGCAGCCACTGGTAGGACCAGCGCGAGTCGCGGCCGAGGGTCGTCTTGATGGCGTTGCGGCCCTGCTGCTGCTGGGCCTGCTGATGGTCCTCGACCCGGTACTCGTCCAGCTTGATCGTCTCGCGATAGCAGTACTGATCGCCGCGGCCGACCTTGCACACCAGCACCACCTGCTCGAACACGAAGGCGTAGCGGGCCTTGATGCGCTGATCCGAGTGCGCCTTGACCTTGAGCTCGCCGTCCTTCATCAGTCGGCCGTAGTCCCTCAGCTGTATGTCCTCGGCCCGATCCCAGTCCGTGATCGAGCACTGGATGTCCTTGATGATGTCCAGCGTGTCCGAGTCGCGCTTCACCTCGTTGATGTACTGCGCCACGTCGACCATGACGTCGCGCGCCTGCACCAGCCGCTTGCGGTCCTCGAGCCACTCGCGCGGCGTCTCCTCGACCAGCTTGTCGAGCAGCAGATGATACTTGAGCACCCTCTGCATCGGCACCGACAGTATGTCCCTCAGCTTGAATTTGTTGTTGTTGGCCTCCTGCTGGCATCTCTGCGTAAAAAACAAAGTAAAGCGTTTACAAAGGTTCATAATAAAGGATAATTGTATTGGGTCATATTATAAAAGAGTTGATAGTTCAAAAAATGAAATTGAAACAAAGTATTTACTCTTCAAGAGTAAATTTAAAAATGAATATCCGGAAAATTTTAGTACTCCAGGTCCCTCCCTTTCTAAAAGGGTTCAAAGTTGAATTTTCATTTTTCAAAATGTTTTCTGCTTTTTGGGCTGGATATGAAAAAATTGTTGAAACATGATTTTTGATGTAAAATTTGATAAAGTCTTCAGCAATTAAGTCAATATTGTAATTTGTTCATCGATTCATCAGCTTCTGATAAATTTTGATCATCAAAATCAGAGATAATTCTGCAGCTGTCGAAAGACCTAAAAACAAGTAAAATTAGAGAAAAACCATGTTTTTAGGTCATTCAACAGCTGAAAAATTCTCTAATTTTCAACCAATGACCAAAATTTATTCAATTGCTGGAGATGAACACATTTATTTTTTTACTTTTATACTAATTTCACTTTTAGTGAGGCAAAAGTTTATAAATCTAATTTTTGACAATAAATCTGTTTCAACAATTTTTTATATTCAGCCTAAGAAATCAAAATAAAATTTGAAAAATCAAATTCCAACTTTGAGACCCTATAGATCCGTGTGGGATGGACCTGGAGAGATGAAATTTTCAGGATTTTCACTTTTCAATGTACTCTAACTAACTATCAACTCTTTTATATGACCCACTGTATACTCACGATAACTTCCTGATTGAGCGCCTCGTTGTGCGAGCAGACGTCGTTCAGGGTGCTCTGGGCCGTGGTCAGATTCGCGCAGTAGTCGCCGTAGATGAGAAACTTTTCTCGCCAGTCGAGAAAGACCTGGCCGAGGGCGGCGCCGCCCTTGGCCTTGCGCAGCTGGCTGTGAAAGCCCGCGTGTATCTCCGCCAGATCCTTGATGCCGAAGAATATGCGCGCCGTGTCCTCGGGCTGGAAGCGACCCGACAGCGGCCTGGCGAAGTGCTTCAGCAGACTGTTCAGGACCTCGGAGTAGTTGCGCTCCGTCTCGACCAGTTCCTGGATGACGTAGTCGCGCTTCTCGCCGCCAGTTGCCGAGGTCGCTGCCGCTCCCTGATTATCATCGTCGTCGTCGTCCAGGTAACAAGGATTAACGTTCGTTATGAATCGACTGCGGGCACTCGTCTGCGTGCGTATTATAATTACGTGCGGGTGTTGTGTTTCATGCGATATCGGTGAACGTGCAGAATGTTTCGAAGATCGAGATCGATCGTTGTGTAAACAAAAAGATTTTAAAAAAAGTGTACAAAGCTCTACACGTGCAACAACATGTATCTATAGGTGAAGGGTATAGAGGTGTTCGAAAGATCCCCATCGATGGTGTGTGCGTGTGCACGCGCGTCGGGATAAAACGAACCTGCGAGATCGGTAACTGCGGCAATTGCAGACTACAGAGATCGTGATAGATCTGCTCGCTCCTCTGGTGGCTGTAGAAGTCGCCGTAGCCGTCCTCCTCCTCGACGGGCCCCGTGTTCACGTGATCGACGTCCCGATGAAACCTCCTGCCCATCGAGTGATGCTGCTGATGCTGATGCTGCTGTTGATGCAGATGCTGTTGATGCTGCTGCTGCTGCTGCTGTTGATGATGATGATGATTGTGGTTGTTGCTGCTGCGGCCGCGTTGACTGGCTCGACTGTCGAGGCTGCCGAATCGGCTATTGCTGCCGTTGGTGGTGGTGGTGCCGGTCGCTGTATCCAGGCCATCGGCTACGTCCTCGGCCTCGCGGCGACGATAGTGACGGACCCTCGCCTCGCTGACCCGTCTGCGATGTCGCGGCGCCCCACGCGGTGTTTTTTTCGTAGAGGATGGATGGATGGATGGAGAGCAAGCAACATCGAGATACGGAACCAAAAAAATGAAATCAACGACAAAAACTAAAATTTCATGCGTCTTTTCGTCACGTCGTCGTATTTCGAATGCGATACATCGTCTTCTAATTGAATTTTTCATTATGTATTTTCGCAGAAGAATCGTACGCTTGTGTCAGATCGCAAGAGAAGTAATAATTGTCTCCCCAGAAATATGCAACAGGAGTAGTAGTGTACACACATGCCATGCAAATGACGTCTATAGGACAACGACGACTCGCGTATTTGGTCATATAAAATTTATGTATACGCGCGAGTTTTATTGTGCAAAGATCGTCGGCGATGACGACGACGACGATGCAATCGTCGTCACTTGTGCAGTGTGTGCCACGATATACACAAGCGTATGCACGACCGACTATGTGGAACGATATGTCGCATTTATTATTGGACGGCGATGCATCGATTTATTTGAAAGTCTACTTTTCACGATTGCATAGTACGAGCTTAAAATTTTCTTTTTTTCTTTATTGTCAAGGAAAACTATCTATCTATAGGGCAGAGGCGCAACACAAAATCTCGCATCTCTATATGGACGTGAATCAATCAAATGGTGTATGACTTGTTGAAAAATGGCAGGCAAAATGTCTTTGTTTTATTTTTTTATCAAACCTCTACGAGTGCATTGCTTTGTATATAAATCCAAAAAATTGCAACAACGAGCAATAAAAAACAACAACAACAACATCAACAACGAATTAAGAACAAACAAGAGAACTTTGTATTTCTGTAGGATTTAAGTACCTCTTCCTGATGCGAAAAGCAGAGTAATTCGTGATAAACTTCTGTTTCGCCTACGTCTAATTTTGGCTTTATCGTAAAAGCCACCACAGGTGCTATCGTGCTATATCGGGAGGCAAAATTTTGATTATTGATTTTTGAACAGTTGTTTATGGGTTTTTAAATTTTGTTTCCTCGCCGAGGAAAATCTGTGATAGGCTCGAAAAAGAGATTTTTTTGCTCTTTGCGTAATCTAACTAATGTTTATTCAAATAAAATGAACTAAAATAATTAAGATGCTTTTTCCATGTCAGAAAAATTTTCTCATTGCGCTAAAATTAATTGCTTTACTTGCACTTTTGTTCATATACAGTTGTTACAAAAAAATTAATTAAATTTACAAAAAATAATAGTTTCATTAAGGTCTGGATACAATTAGAGTGTGCTATGAATGAATTTGTACATCAAGTTGAAGCCATTCGTTACCAAGTGGTATGCTCGGACAATTAGATAACAATTTAAAAATTTAATCCTAAATTTTCTGGAATTGTCTATATTTATTACTTTCATAGATCATTCAAATTCAACTTGTAGCATATTAAATAAATAGAAAGTTATAATTTTAGATTTCTGTAAATGTACGTCATAAGCTTTTAGTGTATTTTCAATTCTAACAATTATCAAACTTTTCCAATTATCAAACCCCTTTATTTTGTGCTCAAGTCAATTTGTAATGAGACACATAGAGGTCTAAAAATTCTAATAGAATTAAAAGTTATTTCTGACTCTAACAAACTTTTCATTAGATAATACAAAAGAAATATTTTTAAATAATGATTTTCTGAGCTCAAAAAATCATTGATTGTTTGAAAAATAGAATTTACAAATGATAGGGGTCACAGGCTACTGTTTGAAGAATATTTTTAGCCTTGAATTAAGGTACTCATGTGTCAAATACAATTAAAAATACAATTCACAAAGTTTTCTTACCCAACTCCAGCTGATTGTAAATCTTTATATATATCCTCTTGAGAATGGCCTCGTTTCACGTTAAAACCCCTGAAAGGAATTAAATTTAGTAAACCACACTTTTTCAGATAAACATTAATTTTTTTAAGCTTAGCACTCACTCAATATTTTTACTTTTGAACCTAGAAGAGTTGGACAGGGCTGATAGAGTGCATAAAACTTGATGAAAGTTGGACAGATCGTAGAGCATCGATGGCTCAAATAGATCAGACTCCGATAAACCAAAAACATTTTTACAAGCTGCTAAAAATGCATTGATATTTCTGAAGCATAAGAACTGTGCCAGCTGAGGTTTTTGACTGACGTCCTTGCTGTTTATGCAGCCTGGCTCAGCATTATTCAATAGATTGCACAAAAGAACTCCATCTCTGAGGATACGAGCCAAATCCACAACTGTCGCTGTAACGCAATTGGCTTTATGATCAGCTCGCAAAGCACCACATCTCACCAGCCAACTGGCGCATTCTTTCCAGCAATTCCCAATTAACTCCACTTCTTCGTCGACTCGAATCATTTTGCATTGATCGATCAATGACTTAACAGGCAAGATTAAGGCAATAATAACTGTGTTGATACACAAACAGACTTGAGCATTGTTTTTGTACTAACGAGTGGCAGATCTGAAAAGTATTAAAAAGACTCAATTAATTATTTGAGGTTTTAATTTACTAAGCTCATAAAGATAAAGCCACTAAACTAGTATTCACTCTGTCATGAAATAGTTCTGCTTTATAAACATTATTAATAACGAGTGGAACTACTCCCACCAATATTATTATCATTAATTCAAGTTTCGTTACATCAATTTTGTTTGTTAGTTAATTTACTCGCTCAATTTACACTTGGCATCTCTCTTTGTCTCAAATAACAAAAAGTACAAACAAGGTCTAAATCTGAGTATTCAAGCTCATCGCAGAGAGTAAGAACGAGAGAAAGAAAAACACTGTATCACACGAGAGACGCTTATCAACAAAGCTTTTCACGTACCAAACTCTCTCTCTCTCTCTCTATGATTAAAACACCAAGTGTCACTCTGTTTCCAGAAAAGAAGAAAAAAAAAATATCACACAAATCACAGAAACCGAGATAAAAATGATATTCGGCCTCACCATGACATCAGTCCAGCGTCGATATACATTGGCACACACTACGACATCGCGCTCGCGAGTTCTTGATCCTCTCTAGGCTGTGGCCTATTATGAGTTACATGTGTATACATACACACACTGGATGATCCCATGAGAGACGACGACGACGACGAAATCTCCACCTTCTTCTGCTGCTGCTGCTGCTCCTTTTATTCCTCTCTCTCTTCGTCTAGCTTTTCATTATCGCGGATGTGACTATACTGGCCGGATCATCATCGTCGTCGTCGCGATTTCGTCGTCGATACGTCTATTAACGCAGCACGAATTTCGACAAAAAGTCGCGGCTAGCAACGACATTATTGTATTATTTTTATCTGTGCCTCACTTGCTTGCTTGCAGCAGCAGAGCAGCACTTCACGCGCGCACACACACATGTATATATAGAGCGTACAACACATACTACGACACACTAGCAGCAGAGGGGCACGCACGTATATGTATATAAACACACGCAAGCACTCACATATAGCTGGAGAGCTGGAGAGCAGCGCGAGAGATAAACATCGGGGCCGCGCGCGCGCGATTATACATACATACTCATGTGTCGTATCTCGTGTACGTGTGTGCGTTTATGCGTATGTATGTACAGTATTGTAAGATTCTCGGCCCAATAGCCGAGAATCCGAGGATTACTCAATGCTTTTGTATGTTTAAGCACTGCGGCTCGGAGTCGTCGGCTCGCGTACATACATAGGATACGTCTGCCAGACACTGTGCGCAGCGCCGAACGCCGCAGTAGCGTGTTATAAGCTCGCGATCAATCTGCTGCTGCTGCAGCTGGCAGCATCCCATAGATATCGGAGCAGTAGAGCAAACAGGATGCGCGTGTGTATTGTCTCTCGCTCCGTCGCTCGTCGCCTCTCTTATACATATGCATATGGCCGATTCTCTGTGAAATCGAATGGCCAAAAAATTTTTTTTTCTGCAAATATGAAAAACTTGCTGTTCCCGATATCACAAATGTCCCCAAATTTTATTGGAATTTTTGGGGCCATCTATCACTCTTTTTCAGAGGCTCGAAGTTGGCCATTTTAGGGTTTTTTTGGAATTCATGAAAAATCACAAATATTCAAATAATTCCTGGATCAGGGTAGAATGATTCAAAAGTAAAAGTGCCCAGCAACTTTTTTGTTGGAAATTGTCCAAATTTTCAGAAAAAAAATATGCCAAAGTGATTGGAACAATCTAGGTAAATCTAAAGCAAAAAAACTGCCAAGTGGACATAAATGATGAAATCTAATCGAGTTCGAACCGGACTTTCATTTCCTAAACTATGTAAAAAGCTTCCCAAAGATATCAACTACTGCCTGATAAAGTTTTGTAATGGGCCTTAAAGTTTAACTCAATGTAGACAACAATGTGTGGCGAAAAACATGCAAAAAAAGGCTGAAAATGGCTGTTTTTGGTGATTTTAGGCATTTTGGGCCTATTTTTGACCTTTTTTGCATGTTTTTCGCCACACATTGTTGTTTACATTGCGTTAAACTTTAAGGCCCATTACAAAACTTTATCAGGCAGTAGTTGACATCTTTGGGAAGCTTTTTACATAGTTTAGGAAATGAAAGTCCGGTTCGAACTCGATTAGATTTCATCATTTATGTCCACTTGGCAGTTTTTTTGCTTTACACTTACCTAGATTGTTCCAATCACTTTGGCATATTTTTTTTCTGAAAATTTGGACAATTTCCAACAAAAAAGTTGCTGGGCACTTTTACTTTTGAATCATTCTACTTTATTCCAGGAATTATTTTAATATTTGTGATTTTTCATGAATTTTAAAAAAACCCTAAAATGGCCAACTTCGGGCCTCTGAAAAAGAGTGATAGATGGTCCCAAAAATTCTAATAAAATTTGGGGACATTTCTGACATCGGAAACAGCAAGTTTTTCATATTTGCAGAAAAAAAAATTTTTTGGCCATTCGATTTCACAGAGAATCGGCCATATGTATGAGTGCACTAGCTTATATGTGTGTGCACAAACCGCTGCACACTGTGCCTGGAGAGAGAGAGAGACCAGCATCAGTTCGCGCGAGTGCGAATCGCTTAAAAACGGTGCGCGTGTGCAAGATCTATATGCATGGCGAGATGCAAAACGTTAAAATTTGATGCTGCATCAATAGTAAAGATTGTAAGACTTTTCACCAAAGGCACGAGACGGTGGAAGCTCGATTCGATGGTCGATGCAATTATGACGGAACGCAGGTTTAAATTGCGCGTTATTTCTGTTGCATCCTGATTATTTGCCAGCAACTTTTTATAACGAGAGGGATTTTGGACTAAAAAAACATATTTGTAAAAGTTCAAGACAGTTCATAATATATCTAATTCGATCGAAGAACCGGAAGTTTCGGACACGGCTTCTGATCTTTGAGTTTGTTGATTCAAGCTGTTGCGGCGATCTTCCACTAGATGTCGACTCGCAGAGATGACTGTTCCCGCAATAGTATTCTGTGATGTAGGCAATAAAAATCTTCATTACATCACATTCATTAATCGTTGGCGCCCTATTATATCAGACTCTATCATACCGGCTCCGGACCCATTTTTGTTTATCAATTATTAGGATGATGGTCTCTTGTTTGATCCTCTCTTCCGAAGTCACGAGGCGATATTTTTTTCCCTGCTCAAGGAAGAAGTCTTATTACACACCTACTTGAAAAAATAAAACGAAATAGCAGCAATTTTTTTGAATTAAAAACTACCAGATTCAGCTAATATATACGAATAGCTTACCGTCGAAATACTTCCTAGAAAATTGATCCTTAGTCTTTAATTAGTATTTCAATTTGGCATAAAAATTGACGATCGAAAACGTCGCAAGTTCAGCAGTGCCAAAAAATGTTCTACATTTATTCTTTTTAATTCATTTACTGCACACACAAAAATGAACTTTCCGAAATTCACGCAGAAAAAAATACTAAAAAAGTGCATTTTTTTAGTGAAATCATATTCCTCCGTCAAAACTAACTACGGCACTCGATGTTACAAAAAAAATCATGCAAGAATACGTCTTGTTAATATAGTTTTTACCATCACAGCACAGTAAGCAATCTATAATCTTAATTGGCAATGCTGTTCAATTTTTAAAGGATTATATGATGATGGTGGCTTTCAATATTAAAAAAAAATTTCTAAATGAACTGGTCTAGTGTACAGTTTATAATATAATCTTCGCTTTCTTTATTTTTTTATTTTAAATATGGAAAAGTGGAAAAATCGGAAAAGAAAGATGTGAGCGTGCACAGGACACTTGAAGTCGGGCTAGTAATACGTAATAACGCATCATCCTCTCTATACAAAGTTTTCACAACAATTATTTAAAAGAATTAAATTAAAAGTTCGTTTTATTATTTCTTTTAAGTTTATTTACAACAAATTAGACGTATCATAACATAACACAGAAAACAATGCCTTTCATACAGAACAATATTCCGAAGCATATGATTACAAAAATATGTACATCTTTTATAGATATTATTCTAAATTCGCTTGTTCTGTTTGCTCGCATAGACGAAGTAAATCCTCGTCGCTCATGTTTTCGGCAATTTTTAGGCAGACAAGATAAGGAAGATCCAATTGGCAATGGTCGGTCGTAAAAAGATCAGCTGCGAATAATTCAAAATGTCGCCTTATCAAAATGTTTCCAACGTGTCTTTTTACTATGAGATTCATAGGACAATGCTCCAGGCCTTCGGGTATATGTAAATGCCAATCCTTCATATTTTTCAAAATGGAGTAACCCTCGCTGTAGTTCATTTTGCAAAGTTGATAAAGCGAAACATCGTCGTTCAGCTTAACTTCATTTAGCATCGTAGTTTGCTTCTTACAATTCCTCATTCGTTCGATGGTTTCCCAGTCAATGTCCTCCTGGAATACTCTCCATTTCAAATCTTCTTTTCGAACGCGCAAATAATCTACAGCTTCTCGCTTATAATAAAAGCCATATTTTTCATGCATATAAATATGAAAAACAATTGCGCGATGTGTCTTGTATTTATTTTCATCTTCTTCGTCGAAGAAGGGAATTATATGTTCGGTATCATTTCCTCGTACTTTTATCCAACATTTGAGCATCAATAATCTAGTTGTGAAGTTTAGTCGGTAGCCAGCTGACTGCAACAAGTGTATCACCTCGATAATGTTCAAAGTCAGAGGGTAATTTTTCAATTCGATCGATTCGAAATTCCGACTAAACATTCTTTCCTCGTTCAAACTGTCCAGACTCGCCCCGTGCTTCAAGAGTGACTCAACGAGCTGAAAATCGAAACGAGAAACGGCCGACTGCAACGGAGTATCTCCGTGCTCGTTGCGTGCCTCGATGTTCGCTTTTTTCTTGACGAGCATCTCAACGATCGCCTCCACCGGTTTTCTGTAATCGCAGAAAGTGCAATGAGAGCAGCAATCGCACAGGCACATCCACGCGAGGGCGTGAAGTGGTGTCGATCGCTCACGATCCAGCTGATTCGGATTGGCCCCGTTCTCCAGTAGCAGCTGTACGACATCCTTTTGTCTGTATTGGGCGGCGATGTGCAAGGGTGAACATTTCCACGAGTCGAAATTTACGTCGATACCTTCGCTTATGAATCGGCGAACTGTGTATACGTCGCCGGCCATGCAGGCGCCGTGAAAATACGAGTAGCCTTGTTCGTCTATATGATTTTTCTCTGAATCATTTACGAAAAGTCGTATGAGTTTCATAGACCCTCCTTTAACCTTGAAATTTCTCTCTTTGGAAACGTCTAGTTCGGCTAAATAATGGAGCGCTGAGTATCCATTTTCAAGAATGAGCTCGTGAATATTTACATTGTTCGCCCGAAGCAGTTGTATGATTATTAAGGAGTGATGTTTGAACGCAAATTTTAAGAAGTAAAAAATATCTTCGCGACTGGGAAATATGTTTTTATCCATCAATACCTTTGATAGAACCTCGGCTCTAAAATTTCTCGACTTCATAAAGTGGCAAAATAGTTGGCGCCTAGCGTCTTTTCTAACACTGCCAAGTTTGTATTGTACATGACGCAGTTGCAATTGAAATGTGCAATCTTCTTCCGATTCCATATCGGTGAAAAGATTTCGATTGTTTCAACAAATTAACTCGACACTAAACACATGGACGACGCGCTACATTAATACTTATGAGAAAGAGAAGGAGAAAGTGATGTTAGCTGACGCGCCGAGATATATTGACTGATGTAAAGCGCCATGTGCTCGAGTATATATTTTTTGAGTGTTAGAAAGTTCATTTACCTATGGCGAAGCGACGTCATGCGAGGTGCTCGCTACATTGGCCTATAAGACACGTAGCGCCTAATAGTGACAAGAAAAAAGGGGAGTATTTTTGAAAAGTCTCTAGATCGATTTTAAAGTGCACGATCGAGGGCCTGCTTTGATCATTGCGCGAGTAGCTAATTTCAGCTCAACATTGGTCGTGAGCTTTTTGACGCCTTTTGTTTGTATCCCATGAAGAAGTGATTTGCCATAGAAAAAACGAAGTTCGAAAGATCAGTGCCAGTATTTAAGAGAAAATCGACAGTATTCGGTAAGAGATTTGACACAGCAACTTGCAGAGGTGTCTGGCTCCACTTGTCCCGGGCATCGATCTGCACCACCTGCTTGACTTCATCGGCGAGCTCGAAGAATCGCTCCATCTCGTCGGTGTCGTCGCTGTCTCTCTGGCTTATTTTACGTCAATGCGTGGAAATTGAATTAGCGTCAAGACAATTATTTATGAATGTCATTGCGATTTTTTTATTTGCGATACAAACTGATTGCGAAGCTTCATAACTGATGTGTCAATACTCAGGTGTAGGTTCTAAATATACCTGCTTATATATGTGGCTTGTAATACTAATCTACAGAATAAAGGGTAAAAAAAAAGTTTTATGGTGCTGTCTAACATGATTTTATGTGTTCTTCTCTAAAACCCACAATGCTTTGTTTGCTCTTTCGAAGCTTCCAATGATAAAAAAAAAATAGCCAAAATTAAGAAAATATTTTTTTTCATCGCATAAATGGCCACCCACCACGAAAACTCGTTGTCAACGCATCGATCGCACCCGAGCTTGCACTGATTTCATTGTTCATTCGATATTATATCGTGTAACATCTGTACGTCGAGAGATAAGTGTCCCGCATGGGATGTATGTTAATAAATACGCGTGCGGGTGTGTGTGTGTGTGTGTGCGTGTGTGTGTACACATTGTATTCGTCGAGTGAGCGGTGCGCAGCCAAAGAGGAAAAACTATCGTGCCGACGATGGCCGATCGCGACTGTTTTATCGGTCGCGTTTTCTCGTTTGCGTGTATACAAACAAAGGCTTTGTGTCAACGACAGCAGACGACAACGCGCGCTGTCGCTTTTTATTTCGGAGCGTTGACTTCGCGCGTTGTGTTTGTCGATGAATTGCGCGACACCCGATTGAAATCAAGCTCAGCTTTATAATCGTATAAAAACGAATCTTTATTGCACAGTCAAAACAGAGTTAATATACTCTCACGGATAAAAAAAAGTATCAAAAATACGCAGTATCAAAAATATACGCTCTACGCGTAGGCACTCGATAATTTGAGATAGAGCTCGGTCAAGTGTCATCCGAACCAGGACTTGATGCGCTCGAAGACTCCTTTCTTCTTGTTGATCGGGCAGGGCTCGACGTCCTCCACGGAGTCGCGATAGCTCTTCCAAACCTCGGGCGAGCTGAGGCAAACCGTGCCACCGCCTCGAAGAAATTGAGTGTTCTGGAGAAAAAACATTATTTTATGCACCAATGATCCTAAAGTTTTTAACGCGAGTTTCATTTTTTTTTTGACTTACAGCGCGATTGATATCGCCGATGCAGACCAATGAATATTTATCGTTGGCAGAGATGGCCCATTTCGAATGGTCGTGGGTACTGTTGAAGCTGATTTGAGCTTTCGATAGCGATATCGATTTAATATTCATGACCCTGTGAATTAGATATTTTATTTATTATAATCACTTTGTATATTATGATCCAACAATAAGACTTCAATTTTTTACTTACTTTGTACTGTTACAATCTGTGGGCAATTTTCCACGTCCATTCATCCAGGTTTCGGTGTAGAGATCGGTATTGAATTGCGGCGCAACGAAGTCGTCGTACAAGTCTGTCACAATTAAATTCGATATCGATTTTCAAGTGAATTTTCATAGCTTCAAATTACTCGTTTATGTTTTACCTTTGTCCCATTTGCTGCTTTTGGCGAACGACGTGAATTTCATTCCGCTTTTGGAATAAAAGTTGACCATGTGGTAGTACGGCGGACTGTTTACGCGGACTTGTTTGGCCGCCTCGACGAGCGTAGTGAATTTGCTCGTCAATCGATTCGGCACGTTTCTTCGATAGACTATGATTTGATTGTAAATCAGCTGCTTGCCGATCGAGTTGAAGCTGTCCTCGTTCGTGGACACGCACAAAAAACTCTGGCCGTTGGCTCGTCCCGACGACGGATACGAGTATCCGCCGGTTGGGTAATCCTTATTGGCTCCAGCTTGTGCACCGATCGATTCGACCTTGTCGGTTTTCGATCTCAACACGTCCTCACCCGTGTTCGGTTGCGGTGGAAAATTCGGCACGCTGTGTATCAGCCAGAAGCCCTCCTTGCCGTTGGTGATTATCGCGCCCTTGGCGTGGCCGTTTATCAGTCTGGCGGGCTGATTGGGCGGCTGGTCGTTGTACAAAATCCAGAGCGAGTCTATCGCAGTTTTCTATGGAAATATTTGAAATTAAAAACAAAAAATTCAATGATTGGGAACCTTCATTTTTGGGATAACTCACGTCGTCGTAGAACGGCGATAGAGTGTACGCTGGTATCGAGTCATTTTTACTAATATCTTTTTCAGATAGTGTCCAGCCCGATTTGTAATTACTGCTGTCCATGTACAAATAGGCTACCCCCTCCTTTATCAAAACATTGTCACTTTTCGGGAGCTTAGGTATCTTGTAAATAACAAACCTGTAAAAGTAAGTGCGTTAGAAAAAAAATTAATCATAGATATTCAATAATTTCATTGCGTCATGCCATACCAGTCAACATCTTGGTTGTTCTCTCCCTTGCACTGTAGTGCTAGAATCGTCGTAAAATTATGGACAATCAACGAGATAACTAAAACTACGTTGAAACAATCTCGAATCATGCTTGCTGCTTCTTGTTTTACGTATAGAATCACCGACATAGACGACTCATCGAAGGACCAGCTCGAGAATAATTAAAAGGCGATTAAGATAATTTCGTTTCTACATCGCACTGCAGTAGCACATGTCCCGCAATATATATACAACTAAAGATTCTACAACTAGCATTTTTTCGTTATCGCGTCTGTCTGCGACTGCTTATCATCGAGCACCGAGCAGCACGCTATCCTCGGCTCTCTCGTGCATCTCTGCGTGCACTGCGGGCACGGGAGAGGGTGACGAGCAACGCCACCTCTGTTACGCGAACCGAGTCGTGCACGAAGAACTGCATTCTTGGCGGACAGTGAACGGCTGGCATTGAGTACAGACGGTTGATACGGTAGGAATTTCTATGCTCGGACGAAGTCAATGGTCACCGAACTAAAGTTGCCGCCGTTAGTTCACGACAGCGAACGCAACAGCCTCATTGATTTTTGTAATACTTAACTTTTTCGTATAATCAATCTCTCAATCAACAAATGCGTCCTGAATTCATTTCGAATGAGCAAATAAAACAACGCTTTAGTGCTGCACTAAAAAGAGCAGTGAAACATCCACGAAAAAACTATGTTTCGTGCGCAATGAATGCCTATAAAATCGCATTCGATATGTTGCACGCGAAAAAGGAAATATTAATACGCGATAAATGACTTGTAACAATGATGAATCGGTTCTACTTTCATCAAAGGAAAAAGGATGCCGAAAATATATTTCAAAATTCTTATATCAAAAGAAAAATCGATTAAAAATCATTTGCATTGGTGCCATCGTGTGTAAACAAATAAACAATGAGCCTCCATAATGCTAGTGTTTCAAGTTAGTTTTATCGCTATCGATTGATATCAAACAATCAATAAACTTTATTACCGCGAAAACGAGGCACTGAGTGCGGTTCGTTTACTTTTCGACTCTCTTCAGAAAATATGATGCCGTGACATTCATACGACTATTCTTTACAAGTTTAAGCAAGGATAAAACTCAGAACATAGCTGGTGATAATTTTGCACTGTAGGTAGAGACGGTGACGTAACTAATAATAGGACTGTTCCGAATGAATGACGTTTCTACTATATGACAGATTCCTAGTGAAGATTGGAACATATATTTGGTACCGTTTGATTTCGTCAACTAATAGTCAAGATAATGATAAGACAAGTGCACGTTCGATTATAATAAATAACCATGTAATCTAATGGGATTGATCATCAATGCCATCATACTGCCCGTTTTGTTTAACAAATCCGTGACGACACCGCGCCCAAGAATAAAACCGTATAAAAAACATTCAAATTTTAGAAACGGCTTATGATATCGAAGACACATGTTCATTAATAATGAGATGGCCCGGCTCGTTGTGTATGTTGGAATGGAAGGTCTAATGTCCGCGAGAGCAACGTAGATGGAGAAAGTGACAGGACATTGGGTTAGAGTTTCGTATGTATCTCCAACTCGGCGCTCTCGCTGCTCGAGTTGCAATGGCTAAACACGCCAATCTGCGCCGCCGTTTGCGCATCAAAGTCGGGCACATCCCCACCCGTGTAACAAATTGCGCAGCTGTCGTACACTCAAGTATTCCACCAGGAATCTATAAAATCGAAGAAAGTATTCAAATTGAAACGGCTTATGATAGAGAAAAGATACATGTACATTAATAAAGAGATGGCCCGGTTCGTTGTGTATGTTTGTATCGTAGGTCGAATGTCCTCAAGAACAAGGTGAATCAAGAAAGTAACGCGAAATTAGGTTAGAGTTTCGGTTGCAATGACTAAACATGACAATCTGCGCCGCTGGTTGCGCATCGGGGTGGGGTACATCCCCACACGCGTAACAAATTCCGCAGCTGTCGTACACTCAAGTATTCCACCAAGAATCTATAAAATCGAAGACAGTATTCAAATTTTTGAAACGGCTTATGTTAGAGAAAAGACCCATAAGCAATAGTGAGCACGCACGGCCTATCCGTGCAACAAATTTCGCGTGCGTCGTACACTCAAGTATTTCACCAGGGATCTATAAAATCGCAGAAAGTATTCAAATTTTCGAAACGGCTTATGTTAGAGAAAAGACCCATAAGCAATAGTGAGCACGCAGGGCCTATCCGTGCAACAAATTTCGCGTGCGTCGTACACTCAAGTATTTCACCAGGGATCTATAAAATCGCAGAAAGTATTTAAATTTTCGAAACGGCTTATGTTAGAGAAAAGACCCATAAGCGATAGTGAGCACGCACGGTCTGTCCGTGCAACAAATTTCGCGTGCGTCGTACACTCAAGTATTTCACCAGGGATCTATGAAATCGCAGAGAGTATTCAAATTTTTGAAACGGCTTATGTTAGAGAAAAGACCCATAAGCGATAGTGAGCACGCACGGTCTGTCCGTGCAACAAATTTCGCGTGCGTCGTACACTCAAGTATTTCACCAGGGATCTATAAAATCGCAGAAAGTATTCAAATTTTTGAAACGGCTTATGTAAGAGAAAAGACCCATAAGCAATAGTGAGCACGCACGGTCTGTCCGTGCAACAAATTTCGCGTGCGTCGTACACTCAAGTATTTCACCAGGGATCTATAAAATCGCAGAAAGTATTCAAATTTTTGAAATGGCTAATGATATCGAAAAGACCCATAAGCAATAGTGAGCACGCAGGGCCTATCCGTGCAACAAATTTCGCGTGCGTCGTACACTCAAGTATTTCACCAGGGATCTATAAAATCGCAGAAAGTATTCAAATTTTCGAAACGGCTTATATTAGAGAAAAGACCCATAAGCAATAGTGAGCACGCACGGCCTATCCGTGCAACAAATTTCGCGTGCGTCGTACACTCAAGTATTTCACCAGGGATCTATAAAATCGCAGAAAGTATTCAAATTTTCGAAACGGCTTATGTTAGAGATAAGTCACATAAGCAATAGTGAGCACGCACGGCCTGTATGTGCAACAAATTTCGCGTGCGTCGTACACTCAAGTATTTCACTAGGGATCTATAAAATCGCAGAAAGTATTCAAATTTTCGACACGGCTTATGTTAGAGAAAAGACCCATAAGCAATAGTGAGCACGCACGGCCTGTCCGTGCAACAAATTTCGCGTGCGTCGTACACTCAAGTATTTCACCAGGGATCTATAAAACCGTAGAAAGTATTCAAATTTTTGAAATGGCTAATGATATCGAAAAGACACATGTACATTAATAATGAGATGGCGCGGCTCGTTGTGTATGTTGGAATGGAAGGTCTAATTCCGCGAGAGCAACGTAGATGGAAAAAGTGACAGGACATTGGGTTAAAGTTTCGTATGTTTCTGCAACTCGTTGCTCTCGCTGCTCGAGTTGCAATGACTAAACACGCCACTCTGCGCCGCCGTTTGCGCATCAAAGTCGGGCACATCCCCACCCGTGTAACAAATTGCGCAGGCGTCGTACACTCAAGTATTCCACCAGGGATATATAAAACCGTAGAAAGTATTCAAATTTTTGAAATGGCTAATGATATCGAAAAGACACATGTACATTAATAATGAGATGGCCCGGCTCGTTGTGTATGTTGGAATGGCAGGTCGAATGTCCTCGAGAACAAGGTAAATCGAGAAAGTAACGCGAAATTAGGTTAGAGTTTCGGTTGCAATGACTAAACATGCCAATCTGCGCCGCTGGTTGCGCATCGGGGTGGGGTACATTCCCACACGTGTAACAAATTCCGCAGCTGTCGTACACTCAAGTATTTCACCAGGAATCTATAAAATCGCAGAAAGTATTCAAATTTTTGAAACGGCTTATGTTAGAGAAAAGACCCATAAGCAATAGTGAGCACGCACGGCCTGTCCGTGCAACAAATTTCGCGTGCGTCGTACACTCAAGTATTTCACCAGGGATCTATAAAACCATAGAAAGTATTCAAATTTTTGAAATGGCTAATGATATCGAAAAGACCCAGGTACATTAATAATGAGATGGCCCGGCTCGTTGTGTATGTTGGAATGGAAGGTCTTATGTCCGCGAGAGCAACGTAGAATGAGAAAGTGACAGGACATTGGGTTGTAGTTTAGTATGTTTCTGCAACTCGTCGCTCTCGCTGCTCGAGTTGCAATGACTAAACACGCCACTATGCTCCGCTGGTCGCGCATTGAAGTGGGGTAATACCCACACGTATAACAAATTCTGCGCAGCACGACCGTTCTTGGATTTCACTAGGAACCTATAATACCGTAGAAAGTATTCAAGTTTTTGAAACGGCTTATGATAGCGAAAAGACACATGTACACTAATGAGAAGGCGCGGCCTGTTGCGTGTAACAAATTCTGCGTAGGATGACCTGTCAAGTATTTTACCAGGAGTTTATAAAACCGTAGAAAGCTTTCAAATTTGGGAATCGGCTTATGATATTGAAGAGACATACGTGCATCAATGACATTATGATGCCCGTTGTTTTGAACAAATTGTTAAACGCCTACAATTTGAAGGGGCATTGTATGCATCTGAAGTTATCTAGTGAATGTATAGCGTATTCAAACTAATGATTGATACCTGACGTGATTTTTATTTTTGTGACCATCGTTATACGTTCATCATTTTTTTCGAAATTAATACTTACAATATCCAAAGTGTCCCGAGTAGAGTTGTAGAATGACCGGACATTTTGAAATTAAGCATATGTCTTCAAACGTGACGGAAATATGTCGGACATGTGACGAACGAGAAATATTCGTAGTCTAAATGTCAAGCATATTAATTTTCGTCACAGAATAAAAGTTCAAGACCCGCGAAACACTATATAGTGGAAAAATGTCGGACAAAATTTTTTTGGACATATTTTTGGTCATAAAATCGAATGTACGCGTATGAGTTAAGAAATGTGTTGAATATTTAATTTTCTTTATCCCATGCTCGAAAGTACGTACTTTCATCTTCGAATTCGGGGACGAAAGTAATATTTTTGCTCCCCGTCAATATCGCGCGAAAGTTATTATCTCCATGACTACGGCAACCTACATTTCAATTATCGTTTGGTTTCGACTATGCAATAGATGAATTATATTCACTTTGTTTATGACGTACATATGCCAAATTGAATAAATATTAAAAGACTAACAATTCTATGAAGTATCAAAATTGAATAGCCATAATTTGACGTGCACATTTCATTACATTC